TTTCTCAGTCTCGCAATCCACATATCTTGGTACGCTACGAAACGGAACAGACCTCTTCAATAGCAGTACAGCCAAATTCGGTGGTAGTTACGTCCAACCCCTCGCGTCATTGGTACAAGACCATGGTGGTATACTTCTGCCGGTGACTTTTACGAGTCGGACCCTATAAGCCAACGAATTGAACTACAGTACGGTGGAAATGGAAGTGCTGGCCTTTATTACAGATAGTGAAAACTTGTTATACGATGTTAGTCACCCGACCCCTCAAGGTCCTGCCGAGGCATTCCACTTTGGTGTGGTTGGTTAGGTCTACTAAGTTACAAGGACGTCTAGGGAACTGGACCGCCCTCTTGTCCCAAAAGATTATGGATATTGTCAAGTGCAAGAAGGGCGAGGACCAAGTACTGGGGGGCGCTCGCAGCCAGTTTTACCCCTCGCGAAAGTGTGGACTCAATTTTGTCGTCAATTTCCCCCAAGATAAAGACGCGGCAAGCGGTCGACCTGTCTACACCCTCTGTAGAGCCCGACGCAGAATTATACGTCATGAATTTTGATGGGTTAGACCGTGTGAAACAGGGAGGTGGAACCTGTAGTGCTATTGTATGGATACTACCTGATTGGACCATAGTCAAGGCTGCCTCGAAAACTCTCATTACATCTACAGTGATTGAGGTCAAAGTTGAGGGTATGTTACTGGGTTTTGAACTGTTAGAGTCTCTAGAACGACGGCGATTGATCATTTGTGGTGATTCTAACTTAGTGGGACGGCAAATGCGGGGATAGATCGAGTTTAAGGCTTCAAGAGTGTCCCCGTTACGAGCAAGAGCTTTAAGTAAGCTGCTGTCATGACCCACCCAAGGAATCGTACATGCAAAACGTGATTGGAATCAGACGCTTACCAGTTAGCCAGCACGGCCTTGCATCAAAAGAAAGGGATCAAGTCGGTACCGGAAGGAGGTGGACAAATTTGTAAACGATTAATAGATTGCCAGAGTTACTAGTTCCCGAGGACCGGAGTCCATCGGTCAAGATGTTTGCAGTGACCCGATCTCGGTTTTCCATCAGAATATCAGTGGAGATGGTGCAAGAGGATGCGATACGAAGACTCCGGAAAGATCTAATCAACGAGGCACAACAGCAAGACGACTAAGTGGGAGATTGGATGGCCTACTTGAAGCGAAAGATTGGATGGCCTACTTGAAGGGTCTACCTGTCCTTGGATCCCGCTCGATCGTGCAGCAAGATGGCCATGCACTTAAAGATAATTTAAGAGAGGCTACTAGTTTATTGTCCTGTTCAAAGGGTCGAGGGAGACGACCGAGGTCAACCTTGGTCCTTCGTCCATAGACCTCGGTCATTCGTTGATGGACCCTCGACCCCGGTGCATGGAGGCTGATCTTGGTCCTTTGTCAATAGACCTCGGCCCTTCATCAAAATATTTCAGTCCTTCGGTCGATGGACTCTCGACCCTGGTCCCTTAGGTCGGCCTTGGTCCAGAGGTACAGCTAACTTAGCCAATCAGAATCAAGAATCAGGTCTCAGGGTAAAGATGGAGTAAAAGAGTTAAAGATAGGACTATATTAAATGCTACTCAATTTGCGATCTACGTAGCACGCCTTCGTCGTGCTCATAAGGAACTTACATAAGTCTACCCACCTGTTCCGGGAAGGGATATATTTTTGCTCTCCCCTGTCGAAGACAGTCGTGTGGTAAGACTCAAGTGAATCGAACCTTAGGATATATTTGGCCTGTGGGTTCGTCTGAGTAGCACCCCCCCCAGCTGACCCGCTATCGGAAGCGGTCTCCTACCCCAGTGGTTTGGAAGCAAGTAAAGACCAGGCGGTCAATGCCCCTGAGGTATCAAGGAAAGGCCAGGGCTAAGAAGCTTCCCTGAAGAAACTGGTCATAAGCCCACCATCGACCTTGTCGACCGAGTGTCCACCTACTTGCCTACCGAGTGAAGTATATCCACTCAAGGCACCCCAAGGTCGACCCCTTATAAGGCCGATATCTACATCTCCACCAAGTCCTCCGAAGGGTACAACCCTCTAGCCGGCGGGTGCACAAGGTGAGAAAAAGGTCCATTTGCGGCATCGGGGTACTCCCTCCGACAGTCGGCAATCCTGCAAAGTGAGTGGCTTAGAGTCTCATCACGAAACTTTGAGAATCCACTCCACCACAATGGTGCGCGTGCCTGGATCTTTGGAAGTAGCGGGACATCACCGCTAGTCCCAAGAAGATGAAGATGATTAAGCAAATATTGAGCACAAGACTGAAGAGTCACCGAAAGACCGATCGCTCATGACTATAGAAAATAACAAAGAGGATAGCAGAACCAAATAGACCTTAGGAGGTGAGGTGTCCGGGCAACATCGTCAAGGTTGACTAATTGAAGAGACGCCGGAATACTCCTATCTATGTCCTCGTAGAGGACACCTTAGGTCATGACATCTATCATGCTCCGGAGGATCATCAATAAAAGGCAAAAACTGAAAAATTATGGTTCCCGAAACAAAAAATGATCGCTATGTCGAAGTTGAGAAAGTTCAGGATGAAGGCGCCAGTGACACCCAGTCGGTAGCGTCCGCAACCTCAGGACGGTCGACCTGGCCGGACGCTGACGTAACCATGGCATACCATAGACTCAAGCTCGATGCTTTTTTGGAAAATGACCCCGTCACAAAGACCTTTGAGATACGATTGCTGGGTAAGCTCAGTGGACCTTGCCGATCTTTCCCAAGCTACAAACGGTAACAGACGCGATCACCACGCCAGTCACCCTCCTTCGAAAGGTGAGATGGTTGCGGGAAGGTTTGAGCTAGAAGACCTGTTTGATCTGGTGTTTGACATTATCAAGACAACGTTAGAGCTACTTCAAAAACGTCTGGGGGGTCCTTGTGCCAGTACTACTCGACCTACCTCCTGCGACCGCCGCGAAGCAGCACTGTCAGAAGGCAGCCGGATGAAGCTTCAAGGCCAAACGTAATGATCGACCGAGGACCCATGGTTGATGCGAGGTACCACATTTTACCCTGCATTAAGGCACAAGGTCCCGGCGGGGCAGTCGTCGCGAGGGGCATCTGCTACTAGTCATGTAAGCAGATTTTTACTGCTACCGACTGGTATGCCATTGCTTTAGGCGCGAGCAAGGAACACGAAAGACGAGCAGCGAGCACAAGAATCGGCAAAGAGTGTTTGGCTAATTAAAAATGAGCCACGAGTAGCACCAAATTTTGCTTCGTCACGTGGCAAAGCTGCCAGGGGGGAAGAACCTACCTGTCCGGTAGGTAATCTGCAGGCATACTTCAACGCGGCGATGGCCAAATTACTGCGAGAGCATCAAGTTTCGGAAGCAAATTTAAATGAAAGTGGGACAGGCGGCGCAACGGTGTATGGCCCACCCCGGTACAGGTATGAAAGCTTCAAGACATCGAGCAATGAATGATGTGGAAATCGAATCGGTCAGTTTATACGAATACGACCCAGAAGACATGGACCTTGAAGGACCTCTGGCAAGGATGGCCAATGCTACCCTGTGCGTAAAGACTTTCATAAAACTGAGGTTGTCGTGATTTTTTTTACTTATAGAAGACGGCTTTTTGCAGGGGTTGTAAACCAAAATGTGATATTTAATCGATAGATTTTCTTCTCAAAAACAATGAATTCTAGCCACTCGATCGTTCGACTGGCTCCTAGCCACTCGATCCTTTGAACGGTTCCTAGCCACTTGATGCTCCTATCTTATGCGACTTGTCTTATTCTAGGTAATTACCTATTATAAGGACGTCGATAACCTTCATAAACGTGCAAAACACACAAGTGACATTTGCGCCTTGACCATCTCTACAGAAGCCTTACAGGAAAGTCCTTTTGCAGCCTGAAAGCTTTCTTATCGACAAATGTGCATGATTGCATCAGTAACGTATGTTGTGTTTTCTATTGCTGCAGAAAGGCTATCTACAGCAGGTCCGTATACGCAAAATATTCAATGACACGTATTTTATTTCTTCTGAATTTGTTGTGAGCTCACTTTATGATTGACATGTAACAAACTATGTGTAGGGTAGCCAAGACAACGACAAAAAGAATTAAATTCTGTTCTTAGCAAGGCAGTCGATAATCAAACATATAGAACGGGTTGTAATCCAGTTTTAAAGCCTGATTTGACATGATTTGTAGTGATAGAGACGATTGTAATCGAGTCTTCAGGACCGCATACAACTGGTACGCTATTAATAAGAGATAGAATACGCAGGTGTGTGCATACAAAAATGGGGTCTTGGAGAAACCAATTCAAGGTATATTCGCCGGAATGTACGCTCCCTTTATCATTCGTGCGGAAAGCGTGTGCCAGCCGAATCTTGACTGGAGCTATTATGTGTCTAGCATACTTTGTACTTGATTACTTTAAAGTGTGATTAGCTCTAAATGTCTGCCTAATCATGTGCAAGGCCCTTTGTTACTTTGCAGCCGTTGCTTACATCAAGTAAGCAAGAAATCTAAATTTGAAAAGGTGATGTTATCGAAGCTGTTCTTTGAAGAAGGACCGTATGCGTGCAAGAGAGCGTCTTTCTGTTCTGTACGGCTGCGTATAACCGTGATCTTGTCTAAACATACGTTGAAGGTAGTTGTGTAGAAAGGAGCTGGGAAGAGGGGTAGGTGGTGAACAGCACGATAGCTAGTAAATACTACGATATCTGGCAAGCATTAATGATAGCTTGGCAAGCACAAAGAGGCAACAATAACGACAGAATCAAATGTATTCTCATCTAACTAGCTATTTCCAACAGGTTATAAGTCCAATGGCTGGACAAAATGACACGAATGTTGCTCTGGAATCAACAGGTTACGCCAGCGCCTCGCCGGGACGTGCTGCATCGCCGTCGCATGTGGCAACGCCACCGCAAGCTGCACCTATCGTTGAGGACCCACCAGTTTACGATAGCAGCTCGGCAACCGATGATAAGATTCTTGCGGCCTTCGCCGCCCTATCGAATTTCATGGAGAAGATAAAGTCTTCCCGGATGAAAGCTGACGAGGATGAGCGCATGTGCGGCGCACTAGATAGTGGACTCTTTGCATCAGCAATTGGTGTTATTATGTGCGCAAAGACGGTGACAATCGATGCGGTGAGGGACTTGCCAGAGCGCAAGCCAGCAGCTTGTCAAGCGCGAGCGCCTGTACCACGGCCAGATCTTGGGGGATTGTTGTTCTCATCTCTTGCGACACGATCATTAATACTGTATCACAAACAAGCGCAGGAGCGCGCTTAAATGTCGATGCACCTCATCGTGCAGAAGGCCTAACACCTATAGCGCCAGTTTTCCATCAGGAATGCCTGTGCTTTGCAACACCTACGGCAGCTCGACGAAAACTTACGATTCGCAAGCTCTACAGCACTGAAATCTATCGTGCTTGGAGTCCCGTTTTTACGACTGGGAAAGACGTTCCTGAGACAGGTCAATTTGGCCGAAGCATCCTGTGGCTTGGCTGGAGCGAAGATGTCAAGATGGATTTGATTGAGTACTAACTCGCTGGTACGGTCGAATGATACAACCATAAGCAAGTTCACTTTTGGTGAAAAAAATAGCGAGCAACACTTGAATACGTTATGGGACGCCTTTATTGGAGACGTTCAAGACAACGATTACGTCTGGGCAGTCGATGAAACTCTTTGCGCAAAAGAAGTACGCAAAGAAATCGTAAGTCGAGCCGTTTTGTGTACCTAGTATTGGCCAATGATGCAAAAGGCGGTGCAGACGGATTTTGGACAAAATTGTGCACCACGCGTCGCCCGAGCTCATGAATGTCATGAGAGCAAAGTGCGACCCTACGCGTACCGACTGCTGACGACATGCCAAAGATTTGTCTTAAATTGCAACGTCAGTCGAGCTTGGTAGCGAGTCAGCTCGACGTAGGATCGTCGTCACGCATGTTGAGGCTTTTCTATATCGCAAAGATACAAAAAATGCTTGGCTGTGGAAAGTCAAAACACATTCAGCGAATTGTCGTCGGAAGAGGAAAGGCGCTGTCAAAGATGGAAAAGGCGGTGATCACCAGAAGGTCAGCAACAACGATACGGTACTACGCGAAAGGAATAATTAAATCGCGCAAGCGCGGTACGCGCGTCGAAAAAGGGCGCAAGTCGGCAGCTGAGACCGCGAACGCGGTCGGGGACGTCGACAAGTGACTTGAGCGACTGCATCCTAGATATTAGATCGATTCTTCACTTGGCGAACGACGTGTCATTGATGCGAGACATCAACACCTGCGACCATGAAGTATTCATGGCAGATGAGAAGTCTTTCAAGATACAAGAGGTTGAAGCGTGCGCTTACCAATCATTGCGACTGGAGAAGAACATCCCATCAAGCTGATGGAAGTTTACTTGGCACCGCAGCTTGCGCGCAACATAATCTCGTATGGAAAGCTTCAGAAGAAAGGTTTGTTTTGATGTGCAACGGATCGAGTCGCGCATTCGTCCGAGCAGCGATAATACAACCGCTTTTGACGTCTCTATGCTCACGAACGTGCCGCACGTGCAGACATATGTAACAGAAGCTTGTCAAGAAGAACCATCGAACATTCTCATGTCTGTGCTCTCCAATATGGTATCGAGCGAACCAGATGGCGATGTGCAGCGTGGATCATTATTGCACTTTTACGCTAAGATGGGTCGTCTATCTCTGACACGATTGAGCGCATGGGTAAGGTGCCAGGATCTGTGATTGAAATTACCGGTCATACAAGGACTATGTGCAGCTCTTGTAAAGAAGTTTAACAGACGAAGAGCAAGCCGTCGCAGGTCGACAGTGGAATACATGCTTCGATTGATCGTATTTGGCGGTGAGATATGCTTGGACCTAAAAGGTCCACTGACACCGAGGGATCGGATCGGAAATCGGTACCTTGTCAGCTTTATCGACCACAAGTGAAACTATTGCCGCGTCTTCTTGGCACAAGGTAGCGACGGAGTTTGAATACTTTCTCTGGTATTTAGAGAAGAGGTTTGAGGGCAAGTCTCACGTCTTAAAGACTGATGGCGGTGGCGAATCTAACAACGTTGACCTATACTGCCAACTCAATGGAGTCGCGCGTCAAGCCAGCGAAGCAAATAAACCAAGCGTCAAACGGAAAGGCTGAGCGCATGCATAGGACTTCACTTATCATGGCGCGAAGTATGGACTTCGCAAGTTGACTGCCGCTGGGGTTCTGGGGAAATGCTGTTGAGTACGTGGCGTACATCCTCAACAGGATCCCGACACGAGCGAACAAAGAGCGTACCTCTGCAATCGAGATCCTGACAAAGCATGCGCCCAACATTTGGTACATAGTCGTCTTCGGGAGCATCTGCTCTGTGTACAGAGATCCGCGCAAGGACTCACTCAAGCAGCGATCTGCGGTCGGGGTCATCATCATCGGGATCAGTACGAAACAAAAGGGTTTGTAATTTCCTGCAGAAACAAAACAACGCTGATATAACACAACATGTATCGGATGTCAAGACAATGACTGAAGATCAGAAAATTCAACTGCAGAAAAGTTTGGCAATTGAAGACCAAGCGGCGCCCTCAGCGACGTCAAGTGAAATTCTTGCAACGACAATCGTTGAAGATAAGAGACAGGCGAAAGAACGTGGACGAGAGATTCTTATTGCACGCTTTCAAGGTAAAGACGCGCAGAAGAAGTCGCATGTCTGGAGGAGCCGATACAAGGCTTAAGTGTCGTGAGTCACGTTTTTGAACGTGACTTAAAGAACTACGCTGATGCAATGCACAGTGCCAAGTATGCAAGTTGGAAGGACGCGATGTGTGAAGAATTGAAGGCGCTCGAGGCTAACAGCGTATGGGAGCTGATCAAGCGTCCAGAAAAAGTCAATGCTCTACACACAAAGTGGGCCTTCAGGACCACGACGGACGCGAACAGCGACATGGTTCAAGGCGCGACTGGTCGCGTGTGGAAACGAGCAGGTATTGGGTCTGACTTTTGCAGCTCTTACGGACATGTCGACGGTGAAGGTGATACTGGTACTAACTGTGACATGGAAAGTAACTACAAAGCACGGGGATACTCCGAACGCCTATGTCAAGGCAAAGAAGAGCACCTGGATTTCTACCTACAAGTGCCGCAAGGCATGGCTGTCAGCGACAAGATGCTCAAGGAACATGATGCTAGAGGCAAAAGTGATTTGGTGTACGGCTACGCAAGAGCTTATACGGATTGAACCAAGCGGACTGTCTGTGGAGTCAATTGCTGCACGTAAAGTTAACAGAGGCAAGGTTTTGCAGTGTGTCGTGGACAAATGTTTGTACCGCAAAAAGAACGGCGATGGCATCGTCGTGGTTGGAGTTTATGTCGACGATCTTCTAACGACCGGCACCAGCGCGGAAGCGGTCGATCGTTTTTTCGTCAGCCTCGAAGCTTTGTCGCACATTGTACATCGTGGCGCGAGATTCACCCCCAATCCAGCGGCGTTTCGTCCATTTGGTGACAACTTGTCAAATGTACCGGAAGTTTGATAGGATAGACCTGGTACAGTTACGTGAAGACCTAATGCAATGTTGGCTGGCAGACGCTTGGTGCAAGGGCTGGAACGGGTTTCCAATGGCAAGCGCGTCTTTGATCTCAAAGGGTGATATAATCATCGCTGGAAAACGAATCGTACTGTTCGAGTTAATAAATATATGTTTACCTCGCGGCAAGATTGTGGCAAAAGCAAGCTTAATTGTTGCTGATGACTACGCGCACGTCAACAATTGGACGAGCACTTTATTGTCTGGTGACGGCAAGAAGAAAATAAAAACATTGCCTTGTTAATAGGACTTCTTAAAAGCGAGTACTTGATAAAGACCAGCGATTTCCCACTCAGCGTCTGATATAGAGCCGCGAATATTGGTCACATGCATCTTTTCCAGCAGCAAACGATTGCACTCTTGGTCCTTGTGCTGTTTAATAAAGTAGTGAAAGTTCTGCTTCAAAAGAAGTTCAAAGCCGTGCTCGCGTAGTAGCTCAGCAACCAAATCGTCTGGTACAAGATATTCAGGAAGGTCTACAGCCTGACCACCACCGCCGTCGTCCGTGTCACCCTCCACACGATCACGCAGTGTAAAGTTATAGCGCATTCCAAACGATCCTTTCGAAGCGGCATTGAATCCTGATAACTGAGCGCGCGTAGCTGCATCGAAATGGATACAACAAACCTCGCGCTTCTTCTCATCGATAATACTCACATCAGGTTTGTTCATAGCATGATCTTCTTTTTCCTTCTCCGGTGGCCGCAAACCCTGGTAATATTTCATCAACAGCTTGTTCGGATCAACAGTTGTTGCGATCAGTACGCCGCCATCAGCAAGTAGCTCGTGTACGGTAGAGAAGAAACGATTTGCACGCTCTGCGTCACCAAACATGTAGTGAAAGGAAAATTGTACCGACACAACATTGAAACTGCCAACTGCTGTGCTCGGCAGCGGTACCGCGTCGTGCCATCCTTCATGTTCGCTCCAGCAGTGCATCACATCATGCAGTAAGTCCACGACACCTAGATCGCCTTGAATGAATTGCACCTCGGCCTTCTTCCTGTCTCGATCGCCTACTCTTTTTCCACCACGTGAGAAGAAAATGTACCGCTCCACAGCGTCCTCCAACGATTTCTGAGCAATATCCACACCCACGTACATTGCTAGATTGCGCTTGGTCCACTTCATTAGATCTCCACCTTTGCCACACGCCAAGTCCAGCACCCGATCCCCCTCACGTCTAGAAAACTCGTTGATCAAAACAGATTTCACCCAATTGTTCAGCGCACGCATATGGAAAAGCAAACTGTCCGCTCTGTCACTCTGAGCGCTACGCTGCAGCTGATTGTAAAACGCTGCAGCAGCATCCGGATCTTTCTCCCGGTTCTCGTCGTTGTAATCACCTGACATGGCTCCATACGACCTCTTGGAGCTAGTGAGTCTGCCCTCACTCTGAGCCGACCTCTCGGGATCCGATACCAAGTTGTAAATATTCATCGTCGCGGAAACTTTTGTTAGTGGTGCTCTCGGGGATTCGTCATCTGCATAACAAAGAGTTCGTTTACTTTTACGTCAATTGGATCTACTACTACAGTGTTTACTCTACCTTGTGTCTTCTCCTCCGGTCCAAGAGCAGGAGGTCCTGGGCTTAGCAAATCCATTAAAGAGTTTGACTTCTTTCTTACGAGTCGTGGCGGCTCACCCGAATCAGGTCGCGTGTGGCCATTGGGCGAGTCCGTTGTCAGAGCTCTGGGTGACTCCGAGTTGCTGTAGGATGGCACCGGAATCGGTACGGGCTCAGGAGAGACCACGTTGTTCGATAAAGGAGGTAGTAGAGATGAGCTGGAGGTCGTATGAAGCACAGGCTTGTCATACGAGATGGTGCCATTCTTGTCTCGGACGTGAAAATAGAAGCGCTTACCATCACGATCGAACTGATGTGACCAGCCTTGTGGCAGGTCATTGTCAACCCAATAGACTTTTTTAGTTTGTACATTGTAATAGTATGGCATGTTCTTCGAGCGGGACATTGTCACTTCCCATTCGGAAGGTAAAGGTTCCTCCATCACTTCTAATATTCCCATAGCAAAATGATTATTATTTGTATAATCCAAATGTCAAGTTTACAGCTTAAAAACGGGGAATTTATACAAATATTTGGAATTTATGTACTTAAAAGACATTGTGTTTGCAATATGAGCTCAAATACTGCGACCTCCCCCGCTGTATCTCATTTTCCTTTAGTATGATATGCCGATAACAAGATGCACACAATACTGTCAAAAATCGATGAAAAAAGGCATGGAAACTCAATAAACATCGCAGTGCTGCTCTATTTGTAGAAAGAATTGAACGAAATGATGCTGGTGCATCGGTCACTGTCATTCCATTAAATAATTGCTATTGAAATCAAAGCGTCGTGGATGTACAATCGTGGCGACATAGGAACAATATGTATCCGACAAAGGTGGCATGCAAGAAGACAACATTAGCTCTTCGTCTCGTTTTGCTCTATGAGCTGGGCAAGCTCCCTTTTGTGCGAATTGTCGGATAAAATGAAGTCACTTTGCTCGATGTATGTTGCTTCTTACAATTGGTGTCGCAAAGAACTACGCGTTCCAGAAGTTAGAAAGTCGAAATTTTGTTGTCAATGCTTTCACGCATTAGCGCAAAAAAAAGTAGCTGCATTAAAAGCTGTACTCGAGAGTATTAGAGTTTGCTGAAACGAATCCTGTTGTAGTATCCAACCCAGTTGGACTTTAGGTCTTGAGTATTGCTGTAGTGGATGCATTTCCACGATAATTTAGGAAGCTACAGCTTATAGCTGTTAGTGTCATGCTTCTCGTCTTGTGGACATTAGCAGACAACGTTGGTTAGTCCTGTACACAGACAAAGGAGCTTGCGTCACTAAACTGAATAAACTCTCTTGTATTTCGTCGCAAAAGTTGGTGTTTGTGCTCTTAATATTGGTTCGAAATAGCAGCGGCATGACCGTGTCGTCCAATAAAGTGCCCAAAAAGAAGCGCCGTACGCTTCGTGATGCTGAAGATGAGCTGGCAACCTGTCGAAATGCACTACAGGAAGCCAAACGCCAACTTGTACTCACGGTTGGTAAAGAACAAAATCCTTTGACGCACCATTGACTCCTTTTGACCAAATGTGAACGTCTTAGGCCCGAGAAAACGCCAAGATGAAAGTGCTGCTAATGAAATATATTGAAAAGGATGAATCGCTGGTGTGTTCTAGTCAGCTTACTGAGGTGTGTCACGTACAAGTCTGTGCTTTCTTGATTAAAGCTTTTATTTACTTTGTCTGTATGATTGTAGTCAAGTAGTCAACCTACAACCAGTGTCATCCAGAACGGTTCGATCTCTCCTCCTGCTGCCGAGACAGATACATCAGCCTTTTTACAGTCTCCACCAGGGTACACAACAACTGAGGAAGAAGAGAGCGAGGAGAGTTTGTGGAACCGTGACTTCCAACCTTGTGGTGACGGGTTCACAGAGCCTATTAGTCAGCTGAGTCAGATTAGTCAGGTCAGTCATTGGAGTGGGTTAAGCTCTACATCCAACCTGGACGCTATTATGAATTTTCTTGAGACGCAAGGCACGTCGGAGGTCAAACGGTATTCGGGTGTGGTTGTGTAAGTGACGTGTGTACTTTACTTACTCATTGGTCCGTGGGTGATGTAGGTTAGAGACACTACAGGCTGAATATACCAAGCCAAAGGAGCAGAAGACTGTAGTTTGTGTGGGTGTCGGAGTGTTGCTCATGTCGAAGAAACACCCAGAGTGCGTACTGATTGGGCAACGTAAGGATTCCCACGGAGAAGGAAAGTTTGCATTGCCAGGAGGACACTTGGAAATGTATGAGAGCTGGGAAGAGTGTGCCATTCGAGAAGTCAAGGAAGAAACTGGTGAGTTGGGAGGGTGACGCATTTCCTTGATGATTAGAGCAAAGCTAACTAGAATTTTGACGCTGCCTAGACCTGGACTTGATGGAAGCCCATTTTGCTACTGTCACGAATGACCCAATGGAGGACGAAGGCAAGCACTACATTACGATATTGATGCAAGCCATCGTGGATGAAGCGCAAACTGTCAGAAACATGGAGCCAAACAAGTGTGAGGGCTGGAGCTGGATGCCGTGGTCCGAGCTGCGCACACGTGACGATATGTTTACGCCGTTGCTCCATGTAACGCACAGCAATTTTACCCCGTCGTTTATCAAACCTTAAGCGTACGTGCATTCTTAAGCAATGCCATGTCACGTGACACAACATGATTCTGTACATTCTGTGTTTAGTAGCGAAATCTCTGCAGCCGAAACAATTTCCAGCGCAAACAACCGTTTTCGCGTGTAAAATGGCAAATAAAAAGTTTCCACTGCTGAAAAAGCTGCCTGTGCTCTCCTATAACATCCATGGTCCAGCCAAGGAGCATTAGTCTGGAAGCTGTGGTGCTTCTTATACTCGTCTATAGCAAATTGATTGTGCTAGTACTTGAATCAACGGGGTGCAGATATCTGACCTAAAACATTGGACTGGTGCAATTATTGCAGCAAGACCTTCCATTATTATACTGCCAGATTGGTCTAGTGTTGCTCTTCCCTGTAGCATTTCCATGTCTTGTCTTATTTCTTAGAGGGTCGACAATGTTTTCAAACAGACAATAAACATAATTTGGAAAGCCACTTTATTCACCAGTATTCTAGTGCTCTGTGTTGTGGTGGATGAAGAAATCTGCTTGTGGGTTATGCATCCATATCTTGACTCGTTCAACGCTTGTATACTGCTTGCGGTTAGATCAACCACGTTGCTTGTCTTTGCCGCTTCGAAGCAGCGCTACAAATGCACGTTTCTTATTAATCTGTTCGTTACACCCTAAGCGTTTGTAACTGTGTCATGCTGTGAACAGCTACGTAAAACGTATGGATACCGCCACTGCACAAAGAAAGAGTTCGTCGCAGCTGTCAAAGTGCCAGCATCTATGATGCTACCGAATCAGCTTGACTCGCGGATGGCGATCGTGGCCTGAACCAAAGTGCGGTGAGAAGCAGCGTCTCGCCATTGCGCATTAAAGGCTGAAGAATCCGTTGATTTGTTTTTGCGGACAATATCATCTTTCTAGCAAAGGATTGCATCATGGAGGCTAGAAGCCATGCTCAGCTCTTTGATTGCAGTAGCCGTAAGTAGCACGTGTTTTGAAGCATTTCATGGTGCATGCTAACACGAATCGTACTGATGTATCAATAATGGTTACTGTACGTCCTTCGTACTTAGTGAATCATATACTGTAACACCACCCTTGTTTGGCAAGACCGTGTTTACTCGTGAAAACGCTTAAACTAAAGCGAGTCTCATCATGGCCGCTACTGGAATGCGCTTTTGCCGTGAGTGGTGAGTTACGAACGCTTTGCACGTTTATGCTACTTGATTTAATCAGTTTCAAGCGCATATGTCATACAACTTTATTCGATAGTTTACTTGTAAAAGTGATCAGACTCTCCTCGAATGTATTCTCCATTAACGCCATTCTTTGCTTGTTCTGTGCAAATAGCAACAATATGTTGTATCCAAGTCAGGACCGTGAGATTCGTCGCCTCGTGTTTCGCTGTCGAAATTGTGGTCAGGCTGAGGATGTGGAGGAGAACTGTATTTATGTGAATGAGTTGGTCAAGGATACCCGGTGCGTCTTGTATCAGGGGTGGACCTCTTCTGTAGTCACTTCTTACACACGCGACTACTCTGTTGTATGTATTTTTCTACCCAGTGTACAGCTCGATGTGCTTCCAGGAGATGTAATCGATGATCCAACGCTGCAGCGTGACTTTGACGTGACGTGCCCTGCATGCGGCCATAATGGCGCCGTGTTTATCCGCTCACAGGATGGTGTAAAACAGTCGACGCTGGCCCTTATCTGGGTATGTTTAAACCGCGATTGCCAGGTGGATGAGGAGGGCAATCGCTTACCGTCTTATCGCTGGATGGGAAGCTGAGAGTTTCTGCAGCAGTAGTGTGCTCGATTTCTGACCAATACTGCTTCATGAGAGATGTTGCTTACCTACCGTGGGTAGAAGAAGAAGAAGCAAGTCACCACTACAACTCTTTGGATCTACTTTGAAAAGCAAAAACTTTTGGTCTAATACTTTGATAACAAGAATTTGTTTTGTGCAGTTGAGCCTTTGGCTTTCTCGTCTTGCTTTTGTAGGTTCACATGCTTCTTTGAATAGTTAGATCAGCGCTACGTTCTGATTGCGATCCGGCGTATCATCTTATTATTGATTACCTAGACCGCAGGACTCCATAACTAAAAAGAATGTGAGGAATGAAGATAAAATCACTTAATTATGGTTTATACACTTCATGTCTTCTTCTTTCGCAATTTAAGTCTAAATTAATGGTCGTGAGACCTTGGACGAAGGCAGACGCTACTACATTACAATTTTTATGCACGCTCTCGACCAGGCAAAATGGAATATCCGTGCGCTGTCGCAACCAAACATCCGTGTGCTGTCGCTGTTACAACGTTGCTCACAGCACTTCGTGCCCATGTTCATCACGCCCTGGAAGTTTGCATACAACTCGATGTAGACAAGTAAACACTTCATAATATACTGGTGACGCTGCTTTTTTCTGTTGGCACTAGGCACTATCTCTCACCAAATTTTACGCCTGCTTTTGGTCACATGGGTGTCATACTGAACACATTCCAAACGATTGCCGCAACTATGGCAGCACGGACGAGCATCAGCAACACGCTGGCATAACCGCCGTCCGAAAAAGAATCAAACGGCAACCACTTCAAGCTGGCACTTAACGTTGAGCGTGGTGCAACCAACTGCGTCGTCTCGCTATTGTCGTACTGTGCGGGGCCCTGCTCCACTTCATCCGAGGAAACTGCTATACTACCACACGGGCGCACGAATCGTAGCTGCATCGTCACGTACTGAGGTTCACCAGCTGCACGGGCCCCGTCATATCTCTCCAGCTGGATGTTGGTACTAAACTCGGCATCGTTCTTGAGGATGTCGGAGCCGACAAGTGCCGCTCCTGCAACCTTGACCGAACGGAAGAACGTATGGTCCCAGAGCGAAATCTCGACCACTTTAGCAAGTTTGTTCGTAGGAATGTGTAATGGAATTTGGTTCCACTTGGGATTCGAATCTCGACGCATCACGGGGCTCTTCCACACCGCTCCTGTTTCAGGGCACCGCAAAATCACAAACGGGTTCACTGTCTTGCGCTTGCGAATGGGTGTCAGACCTGTGCAGGAGATCTCGGCCACTTTTATCACAGGCATCGACTTTGTTATGCTAGCAGGAAGAACCCCAGGACCTGCTGCTACTATTGGCTCCACAGCCGCGTCATTAGCTCCGCTATGACTGCTACTACTGCTGCTGGAAAGTCTTAAACTTGCAGCCGTAACTGCTGTAGCGCTGCATCTGTCTGCTGAGCTAATGGACTTGACGCGTCGGCAACGCACCTTACTTGGCTGCGCTGTGCTGGCATTGTTGTTTTCAGACTCCCTTGGTTCACTGCTATCCGAAATTCCACTAAATTCACTTGAGTCGCTGTCACCTGATATCCTAGTTCCAAACGAAAGTCGCAGCGGCGACGACCTGCCAAAGTCCTGCGGAGTCTTGCCACTCTTAACACCGGGAAGAACAACGTGCGCTATTCGAACAATACTCGCGCTGTTAGGCTTCCAATCCAGCACCTCCATGTACAGCGGATCCTTGAACACAAGGCCGTGTTCGTAGATAAACGTCGACTGATACGCGCCCGAGCGCGTTGGGCAGCCCTTAACGCGCAGGTTGGAGCTGATTTTGGTCATGCGCGCACCGACGAGATAGGCGAGTACGGCTGATTGCCCTTCATGGCGCGCGCCATCCACAGAGACAAGCGTCACATCTTTGGCAAGGAACTGAAGAATCATGGCGGCATCATTCTTGCGAAAAGCATGTGCAAAGCGTAGGTGGTTCACAAGCAACTGCTCCGCGTGTGACGCGTCCTGGTTGTCCTCTTTGAGGTCGCTGACATAGTCGTGGTCCACATTATGGGCAGGCGAAGGTGGGCGGGCTGGCCATTCGTACGAATGTATCGGTTTGTTATTCCTGCTGCTACTTAGCAAATGCATGGTAGAAAGAATAGGGCGACGGTTGTTGTCAAAAAGCGGCTTAAGGCCCATGAAGGTAAGAAAGGAGAATCGACACTGGGCACAATGGGGTAGTAGTGCTGTGTTGCTTGTTGTTTGGTCGTCTTGCTGTGTCGTTCGTGTCTGATTGACGGGGGCTTTCTGTACACAAACACTTGACACTTATTGGTTTGACTGACGGATTCCAAATGAAGGAAAGCCGGCGTGGGTTCAGACTTCTGAGCTCTGAAAAAAAACGATTTTCCTTACTAAGCTGATATGTTTTCAGCCAATTATGTATCACTCTAGTTTCTGATTATGTACATGGTGGATGAGGTTAGGGTATAGCGTGATTACCAACAAAATTTGCCGTCCCGCGGAAGACGTTAATCAGCAATCAGCATCCATGGGTGAGTCCCAGCTTCTTCGTATCCATTGACAAGGATAAATAACTACAAGAAATGCCGACACTTTTACTACAGACATTCTGTCATAGGTAACAAAAAAGTTGCTACTACGCTGATCAGATGCTGACTGGCTGACCTACCGTCTGTTTGATACCGCGTTATACAAGTCCCGCTCTTTGTGTGGCAACGACAATGCCAGCGGGTTAAGCAAGCGCAAGCGCTGGCTGTCAACTTGGTCTGGTAGAAACTGGGGTTTGCCAGCCTCTATGTGTCAAGTCTGTGGCACTTGTCGCCGGGTAGCAGCAACCCCTGGGTTAGCAGTCGTTGGTACACACTCGAAGAAGACGCGAACAAATCGTTGGTGCAATGCGAGAAGCCTTCGGATATGGTTGAGCTTGGCCACAGTGGTACTGCAAGATGAGCAGCTGGTACTGCAAGATGAGGTGCTGTTAATATACAGGTTTGTCCAGGAGAGGTAGAGGGCGCGTATTTGTTTGCATGTGGTTATTGATTGACACCATCTTTAACACAGCTTGGTGGCCCCGCACATAATTCATATGCCAGCTGCTTTTCGGCCGCAAAAATAGTCACCCATGCCGACGCAGTCCATACAGACGAACGCCATTTGTATGTCCGCACTCGATATGGGCGTGATTGCCATTGTCCAGTAAAGTACTGCGTCCGTAGTTTTGGCGTAATCTTTGGGGGGGGGATTTGCGTATTTGCCAACTTTACATGTAGTAAAGTTCCAGAGACAAAGCCGAGACGTCGAGTGAAGATTGAATGAACGTTTGGCTCACAGGACATTGATGTTAGTCAAGCTGTAAGCAACATTTCTCCAGGCTGGCAGGCATACGTCATCTTGACACTGGCGATATGTAAACGATGATCATGATGATTCATCTTTTTGAATCTCTCGTTTAAGATTCGTAATCGCGATTCGTAATGCTGTCTGGACAATCTAACGAGATGAAACGCTTTGTCTGGTGTTGTAAAACAATAGTGGGATGAATGCTTACTAATGAACAGGACGCTTGAATTATTGTTCATTGCCGGGCAAGCTTATCTATCATTCGTGTAATTCTGGTAAAAGCTGTCGTTTGTTAATGGCAATATCTTCCAAAGCTATCGATATCCGTATACATTCGGGACAAGCTAGCATCTGAATTGGCTAAATTTCATTTTTGCTTTATCATTTTATCCCGTTCGTAATTTAGAGCTTTCTGATACAAAAGTATTATTTCCATAAATTTGATCAAATAAAGTGCCCAAAAAGCAGCTCATTTTTCATCCGATAAATATAATCCACTCAAGACGCAGCATTAGAAAGAAGTATTAAGCACATTGTAGTTCTCATTTAGACGCTTGCAACTATTGTACTATTGTAATTGGGGCTAGTAACAGAGACCTTTTCACCCGTCTGACCGGGCCAGTGCGTGCCTACAGTAAATAAAGCTTTCATTTGTCACTCTCAACATCTTTTCTTCTCATGTCTTATACCTTTGTACTTACTGTACGAATATGTCTACTTAAGCAATAACAAAGCCAGTGCCTATGTAATTCAATAACAAAGACTAGCTTGGTTACACCGCCGATGTCGAATACTACGTCAGCAGCCGGAATAATTGCTACATGGACTACTTGAAAGACTACAGATATTTTTCTAATTGAAGCCGTTACCAGCCAGTAGACCCTTGAAGCTATTTGTTGATGACAGGCATGGCAGCTACTTTTGGGACTTCTTGGCAGTGGAATACCGCGTCATGTCACCAATCCAACAACGCTTTCATTTTTCGACTGATAGCAGGCACCATTCCTAGTTACGCGCAGCAGCTACTACATCCACACAAGTGTACGCGATGAAGTGATGGATACTTTACGAAGACGAAAAATTTCAAATATGGGTCAAATGTATGTTTGGATACAATTAGGAGCGAATAGATCCAAAGGATGTCATCCACAGGCGGCGCTTCGTCAATAGGTACAAAACTATTTGCTATCCGTCATGTCATGTGTCTTGTAACTTGGAAAATGCATGACTAGCTAAAACGTATGGTCGCATGCTTGTAAATTGATAAAAAAAAGGTTTATCGGACCATTCCTGATTCGTTGTCATTGACGAATGTTGTGCATTGTCTCGAGCTACTGTGTGTGAGCCCAGCCTTGTAGCTATAGAATATGCATATTTGACGTAAATAGCGGATACCCTACTGATCGACTAGCAAGCGCAACCGTGCAGCAAGAACAGGCAATCAACATTAGTTCATTTACGCTCCTTGATGTGTAGCATCCCACATATCGAGATTTATGTCGTAACGATCGTCATCTATGAGAAAATGCTAGGAATTAATTACAGTTGACCGACTGCATGGGTAGTTGAAACATTCCGACGGTCAGAGTGACAGCAAGCACTTGATCGACCGCAAGCAAACGACAAAACTCGAGGATGTGCAGGAAGAAGTAGTACAAGATAAAAAGGTAGAGCAAGCACGAAAAGCACAAGATGAGAAACACTACAGCACCAAACTGCAAGAGTCTTTGCTCAGCCGGGTCTTTCGAGGTGCGACACAAGAATGAACAGCAGGCGTGTCACTATGCCAAGAACAATGAGGCGGTCCAAGAGCCCAGGCGATAGACTTTAGCAATTAATTGGTTCTTTGCTGCGTCCACCTGAATGTGAAAAGTCTCACACATCGGAACGCCAAACTAGAGCATTTCAAGTCAGGGTCCCCAATTATGCGCCAAGATGGCAGAGATTACAGCGAGTTGGCAGTGTACGCTGAGTCAAAGCTGAGTAACATACTGTTTACTTTTGAATTGACTCGACGTCTCAATAAGCACAATGTGCTGGGCGTGACTTCGGTGGCTTGCCACCCCGGCATTACGTCCACGAATCTGCTAGCCCCTGGTGCCACAGAAGGAGGATTCTTTGTTCGCCTTTTGTAGCTGATTTGTGCGTTTTTGCCTATTTACCAAGATGTATCGGCCGGAGTACTTCCCATCTTGTACGCTGCCACCGAACCCGATGTTGAGAGTAATGACTACGACAGCCCTGGTAATATCTTTGGGTGGGTTCATCCCACATTTGCTGCGCACTTCTTGAAGAGGACGATGGTTTTGTCACAGGTGCTTGGTTATGCATTGTTGAAATGCAGATTCAATTGTGCGTCAAAGATGTCTAACAGCGACACGACAAATTCTTATAGTTATGGACATGACAGGTCACCACCTCAGTGGAGCTGATGCGTCATTAGAGTATGATAACGACCTGCTTCTGATGGACCACAGTGACAAGGTGGTTTCGGACCCTTGATGTTTCTGTGGCAACAGTTTTGCAGATCAACGTGATATGAGACGACTTATCCGTTGTCGTGAGGTGTCATACGTAGTAAATTTATGCTATTAGAACAAGGTTATTACTACTTGATCAAGTGCTGAAAGCAGAAATCTACTTTGCTTCAAAATCCGAATGCAGTACACTTTGGATCGTGCCGCGTTTTCCATTGTACCGCCACTTTGGATCCTCCTTCTCTAGCTTTGCCACGACGTCCGGAGGAATGCCCACCACGGGATTTGACTTCAGCGTGCGGAACGATACGAATGAAGTCGGAAAATATGGAACAGCCTCTTCCACGGGCGTTGACGGCGGCCACAGGCGGTCTCCTAGTAGGCGACGGTAGTTAAGATCTCCCTTGATGATCACAAGCGTCGCCTCACGGGCCAAGTGAGTCTGCAGCTCCAGAGGCATCTCCCAAAAGTAAGAGTATTGGTTCCAGAAGATATCTTGGCGGATCACGAGCTCGTCTTTTTGGATGTATCTTGCCAAACGCTTACCCAAAGCCTGAACTTCAGGTGTACGCGTCTCCTGCTGCATTTCAGCAATGTGTTCATGAACATCAGCAGGCGTCGCATCTGACACGTACATAGGTTCAGCCTTCACGTTTAGCGTCACCTTACCGCACCAGCCACGCGCTAGCAAGTGATCAGCCAGGGCCAAGTCAAGCAAAAGCTCTGTGCCGCTATTGTCATTAATGTACTGTACGTCAAGGCACTTCGCATCTCCAGTTTCCCGTGCCTTCCGCTCTAGATACGTGATGACCTTGTCACTATGATCCACCAGTAGTAGGTCGTTTTCATACTCTAACGATGCATTAGCACCAGTGATGGTGTCCTTTACCTCCTTGTAACACCCATCAGCTTTGTTGCCCCATAGACACAATTTCATAATACGCTTCAGTAGGTCGTGGCGACTTTGTAAGCTAGCCTTTTCTTGAGCTGACACACCCACTGCCGTCTGCAGTAATGCCCACGGAGTGACCTCCCTCAGCTCCATCATCTTAGACGCATGGAATGGATCAATACCCGTCGTGTAGTACTCGGCCAGCAGTAAGACCAGGTGGAACATGTACTGCTCACTCAGGAACCAAGGAGAGTTCTGCCACGTATAGCCTTTTCCTTTCAACAACGCCTCCCATTGCACACTCGTTGGGGACTTGGTAAACTGTTCAGGATATTCCGATGGAAGCGAGATCACAGCGTCGTTCACCATGTCATCGGCTAATTGTAGCAAACGCTTGCTTTGCTCTTCGGTGAACCGCTCACGGTTGTTGGCCACACAGTCACGCACCAAACCAGGCAGTCGAGACGTATACGATTCGTTGGCGAAAGTGCCTGGTACATTTGTGAAAAGCTCTTCATATTGCTGGACTTGCGTAAGGAATTCTACCGAAACGCCCATTACTGCAATGGCCTGTAAGGTTTAGTTTAGTGACGGAGGGTTCTGAGTAACTAGGGAGAAGCGATTATGAGCTGCTACATATTATTACAATGATGTGTAAATCAGCACAATTGATTCCCTGCTGCATGAGAGATTGGGCTTGCTAGTCGGGCCAAGGTCCTGCGGTCCTGCATAACAGTTGTCAGAATGACATCATTCCTTAAAGACGTAAACACAGCGATTTCTCCGTCCATACTTGACAACAACGTCTTTATTCCGTTTAAACAAGCCATACTATCTCGCTTTCTACAGAACTAAGACACCCGAGCGTCCATCAAGAAGTATCAAGCCGCGAGCTGCATAACTTATTTCTTCTTGGCGCCGCCCTTCGTGGTCGGTTCCTTCTTGTTCACGGACTTGATAACACCGACGGCAACCGTCTGACGCATGTCACGCACGGCAAAACGGCCAAGAGGAGGGTACTCCTGGAATGACTCGACGGTCATGGGCTTCGAGGGCTCAAGGATGACCATGCAGGCATCGCCTGACTTTACAAACTTAGGGGCAGTCTCAAGAATCTTACCCGAACGACGGTCCATCTTCTCCGTAATTTCTTTAAACTTGCAGGCAACGTGGGCAGTGTGGCAATCAAGTACCGGCGAGTATCCGTTGCCAATCTGGCCAGGGTGGTTCAGCACGATCACCTGGGCCGTAAAGTCCTGGGTACCCTTAGCAGGGTCATTCTTCGAGTCCGAAGCAACAAAACCACGACGCAACTCCTTCACCGACACGTTCTTCACGTTAAAGCCAACGTTGTCACCAGGAAGAGCCTCTGGAAGAGACTCGTGGTGCATCTCAACGGACTTCACTTCCGTCGACAGACCCACTGGACCGAACGTAGCGACCATGCCAGGTTTGATGACACCAGTCTCTACACGGCCCACTGGGACCGTGCCAATACCGCCAATCTTGTAAACGTCCTGGAGAGGAAGACGAAGAGGCTTGTCTGATGGACGCTTCGGCGCGTTCAGGTTGTCAAGAGCCTCAAGAAGGTACGGTCCCTTGTACCACGCCATGTTAGGAGAGCGGTCAATCATATTGTCACCTTCCCATCCCGAGATAGGCACGAATGGGATCTTAGCGGGCTTGTAACCAACCTTCTTCAGGTACGTGGTCACTTCCGCCTTAATTTCCTCGTAACGAGCTTGGCCGTACATGACAGACGAGTCGTCCATCTTGTTAATAGCAACCACCATCTGCTTCACACCAAGCGTAAAAGCCAAAAGAGCGTGCTCACGCGTCTGTCCCTCCTTCGAGATACCAGCTTCAAACTCACCCACACCGGAAGCCACCACTAGAATAGCGCAATCAGCCTGTGACGTGCCCGTAATCATGTTCTTGATAAAGTCACGGTGGCCCGGAGCGTCAATGACCGTAAAGAAATACTTGGGGGACTCGAATTTCCACAGAGCAATGTCGATCGTGATACCACGTTCACGCTCAGCCTTCAGGTTGTCCAGCACCCAAGCATACTTGAACGAGGTCTTACCAAGCTCAGCAGCCTCCTTCTCAAACTTTTCAATCGTACGCTTGTCAATACCACCGCATTTGTAAATCAAATGACCCGTAGTCGTCGACTTGCCAGCATCGACGTGGCCAATCACGACCAATGAAATATGAACTTTTTCCTTACCCATGGTATCAAAACTGAATATAAAACAGAGATAGACAACTCTTAGTCTCTCAAGTCTTTTGCCCGTAAATCTAGTGCGATGTAAAGATGTTTCTTACCTTCTTGAAGAAAAATCTAAGAGTGATGCAGTGGCTGGCTGGCTCACATCTTGTGGTCGAATCATGTGCTCGTATCACCCAATCAAGAGACCGACGCATTCTAGCCAGTGGGTGCAATGACTGTGTTCTTGTATGCGATAGGATGATGTGGTATACATCACAATCGCACCAACCAAATTCAGGTTGTTTGCTCAGCTTCAAGCCAGGATGATCAACTTCTTACGAAAAGCTCGCGAGAGCAGAGGAACGAAGTTGGTCTGAGCAAATGCACAAGTTGCAAAAATAAATCGATGAAGCGCAAGATCTAGCGCAGGTTATGTAGCTGTGTTGGCACAAATGGGCGACGCGTCAGTTCTTTGAGCTGCAGAAAGCAATGCAACGTGGAACAAAAATTGGCAGTACCGTGTAGACGGAAGCAGACCTTGTGGAAAGACAATTGCCGTTATACTGCGAGTACTCCGCTGCTCAATCGTGTTATCGCGCTGACGAAAAAACGTCAAGCGTCGGTTGCATGATCTCTGCCCAAATGAGCTAGATCATTGTGCTATTACTGGAAAAGCATACGCTGCCTTGTGTAACCAAAACTATTGAAATCTATGCCGTAAGCGTGATGATTTCATTTTCAACCGGCGTCCTTTGCCTCCGTTCAGCAACGCCCGAATACGCTGGTACCCTACTGCGAAGAAACCACGTTGTGTATCTATTCCGTGTCTGAGCGCGGAAAAAAACCAAGAATGTCCTTTACAAGAATATTCCACACGACTTGCACGGCAACCTCTGCGACAATAAGCCAAATTACGATCATTTCCAGTTTTGTGTCATGCTGGTGCGCAAGCTGCTGGCTGAGCACGTCCAACCTGTATCATACAAGTCCAAATAAAGTCCACGGTAAGCATCTGGCACCAACACCGTAACTGAAGCAAGAATACGTACAGCTCACGGAGAATGTCCAAACGCGTGTTGAGAATCTGGACACGATTGTCCACGTTCAGGTACTTCATTACTTTCTTGTACAACGGCTCGTACTCATCATCTTCCCAGAAAAAGTCCGGCTCATCCAGCATATCCGAATTCAAATTAACATCGCTTCGCTGCAGTCAGAAACAATACCACAGCAGTGTTACGTAATGTACAAAATGAGTGTGAACAAACATCTTACTTACCTCGATAAATAACCGACCAATGAGCTTTGAAATGTCGCCCTGGGAATACTGAATCGACCCTGTCACCGCAAGGTTCTGCGGCACATGCTTCGTCTCGCGAATGGTTTCCTCCACGCGCTCCTCAAAAACGTCCAGCTTCGATGACTGTGCCATGGCGAAGGACACCGCCAGCTTCTCAGACGCACGGTTACTGCTGAGCGTGATAGCATCGTTGTGAATGATACTTGAATCGCCATACATGTAGTCCATGTCCTCCACCTCCACCTGTTTCACTGGGCCCACCGAGAACGCTCCAAGTGCCATCAGATGCGCTTGCTCCTCGGCTCTCGTCAATCCCCAGAAAACTGCACACCCCGTTCTGCAAACACGTGCAAGCCTCTACTCCGTCAGTACCCATAAAGTACAATACCTTAGTACACAGCAGTAACGCACGCAAAGTAGAAAGCGTCCTTTTGCTGATACGGCCTGTATATGCATACACAACAACCTGTACATTACATTCCAGCTATCATCATGCACGCTGTCAAAGCACAATCAAAACACTGACTTGAGATTCGGGCCAGGAACACAACTGGAATGTATCGCGCCCATATACATCTTGTGCATCCATCCATCAGGATGCAACTCTCCTCCCGGTAGTTGCCCTGTTTCGACCCTCTCGAGCCACTTGAGCAGCTTGAACAGTTGCAGCTGGTCGCACGTACAGTACGCAGACACTCTCAGTTTTGAAGAACTAGGTGGTTCTCTCAACTGCTTCTTGATTGTCCTCATGCGCGAACGTCTCGTCGTATGGCTCACTGTCCCGGGGGTCGGTAAGGGCCTCGGAGCTCCCCGTCTGAACGTGCTTCGTTTCCCAATACCATGCCAATTAGCTCGTGGAATCTGTCGAAATGATTCAGTATGTTGGCGGTAGCTGGGAGGTGAAAACTGACGGTCCAAGTCGCTGAAATCCTCAAGCTCGTCGCTGTCGTCGTCCTCGTCACTGCTGGCTTCAAAAAAACGACGCAAGCACTTGCCATTCTCCTCCTCCTTTCGATCGTATACAGCCGAGTCTGAGTTGTAATTAAGTGAGATGCTACCAGGAGGCATGAGCGGAGAGCTTTCGCACGCATGAGCGAGGGGACTGCGACTGCGTCGACTCATGCCCAAATAATGAATCAAAACGATAAAATCGTGTAAAACACACAATTAGCTTTGTCACATTTTTTAGTGTGTCCTCATATTCGTACTTACGCACGCCATTAACTTTGCACCCGTTACGACTGTCGTCCTATACGAATTCTCATCTTAGCTCTAGTTATGCTGTTTCATGGGTGACGAGTATCATTTGTGGACGTCATATTAGCGTCGAGGAGTTTTATTGGGAAATTCACGCCTCAAGGATATGCTCGCTAGCCAGGAGATATTGCATCTCGTAACCTTCTTTCTTTTGCATTTGATTGTAAGTCCTCTCGTCAGTGGTTTTTGTATCGGTTTTTTAAATACTCGTCTTTGATTGAAGCTGATACAGAGCTGATAGAGAAATAAGGAGCGGCTTTGGACCGCAATTGCTGTCACTGGATCTAAATGTGCTGATCGGATGGAGAATACGACAAGCAGTTCTCATGATTAAGTAGCAACGGCACTCATAAGCTGGCTATCCTTTTGCTTTTGTCGCATCTGGTTCAACCGCGTGCTGGCCTCGATCGTCGACATGTACACTTCCAGCTCGCCGTCGTCGGGCAGAACCTGGAGCAACTCTTCTGGGCTGAGAGTTAAGCACACGAGGTTGAGAATACTCTCTAACACTGCACTCTTGCCGTGGGTCATGCTTTTGTCCATCTATGACAAAAAGTACGAGAGCTTAGCAACACAAATTGGCACAGTCTGTCAAACAATTTGTACCTCTCTTGAATTCTCTGACGTTACAGACAGGGTGCTGATCAGAAAGCGCCATTCTTCCAAAGTGCTGCAGAAGCTCTTGCCGTACGGCAAGAATAAATCAATGAAGTCGGCGCGTCGGGCAATAAGCTTTAAGCCGTCCACCGTTCTGTAAGCAAGCACAACTCAGTTCAGTTTGCAGCCGAAATGAGAACATTTGAATACTGCTTGCGTACCTGGCTACACGTGGCAAGGTGAGCAGAACAACAAGTGTAGCCAAATTACTTTCGAGATTCCAGGGTATTTGTTCTGGAATGTTGACATCCAGCACGTCGTACGCTGACAACACGTCTTGGGGACAAATTGAATTCTTGTCGTGAAGTAATTTTAGAGCCTGATTGAAAAGAAACTTGAGCGTTCTGCGCAGCCTAGGTGTCTTTGGTAGACAATATGTATTCAAGTAATCCTGTACCCAATCGGGGAGCTGTGCGTGGGTACCTGATTCCAAAAGCATTGGCTCAAACAAGTCGCACACGATTGACTCCATTCGCCCGTTCTCATCGTTACTTACCGAGCCTTCAAAGCACGAGCTCAGCTTGATGGACAGACGTGTTATTTCTGCTGCCACGGATGCCTTCACTTTTTGTAAGTCTTCTTCATCATCTCGAACTTCCTCCTTTTCTGACAATTTTTCAAGAGTTGGCATCATCTGAAGCACAAAGAGCAGAAATCGGAGCACAAAAGTTTGGTCTGGCATGAAGGATGTCACTAACAGTGTTTCGTCTGTTGCTTTCGACGAAGATGACGAGCCATTCAAAACACAAACAATTCTTGTTGCAGACCCAGCTGCAGCTTCACCAATTGCGCTCAAGCAAAAAACTAGTGCTGACTGGATTGTTTCTTGGCGACCAATTGCATTGTTAAATATTTGCTCCAAGATGTCCAAGTATTTCAAAGCGGCATTTTCCAGCAGCGCCTTCGTCAGGTTGGAGCAGGAAAAACGTTCACTAATGTTTGAAGCACCTTTCTTGTCCGTACAGCTTGCAATTTCCTGAACAAGTAGATCTGGATGCGTCACTGCTAAGTGTACGAGAGCGTCAACGTGATTCTGTAATAGATCGGCCAATAAAGCAAGCGTAAAGCCATACGAGCATTGCTGGGAAAGATTTTCGACCAAACATTTTTCCGAAGTACTGAGCGCATCCCAGTCTGCCGTTGAAAAGGCAGATGCTCGGAGAACTAGTACAAGTCGAGCAACTTTGACGAGGACGCTGTGGCTAGACGACTCCTCCAATTTTTCTAATGCAAACGCAATGTTTCTCAACGTCCACTTCAATGACGAATCGACAATCAATCTAGACAGTTGCTCCGGAAAGTATTTGCCATAGTGCAACAACACATTTCGTGTAAACTTGGTATCAGCTGCATTTGCCCCTGGTGCAAGTTTAGCAGAACAAATATCGGTAAGCGATTGAGGAGGCGGGAACACAAATGCTTCCAGGTATTTCCCTGTAGCTCTAATAACCTCCGATCGATCGACAGTGCCGACAATAGCCTGAAGACGGTGCATAACCTCAATAGAGGGAACATTTGACGCCACAAATAGAAGAGCAGCCCGTTCTAAGTTGCGATGATGCTCCGACATGAAAATTGCTGCAAGATCTGACGCACATTCCTTAGCAAGACGATCATACAGCTTCGTTTCGAGCTCAAGTGCTAGTTTTTCTTTTCGGTCCAAAGTCAAAGCGGCAATCTCCTTTCGAATTGCGTCATTACTTATTGCAAGACGCAGCAAGTCCAAACCCACATCGGCTCGATATCGATACAATGAAAACAAGCTCAACAGCAAGTCGATCTGGAATGGTCTCATGGCACCATCGGTGAAAACACCTTGACGCACATAAGAAAATATCAACGAAGGCGGGCTCTGCTGTAAAATCACGATGCTGTGCTGATGCGAGTGTACCTTAACATCGAGAGGTGAGCGCATTTCAAATTCTGTCTTCGGAAGACGCTCGGCTGCAGCAAGACTAGCCATGTGCACAACATTACTTGACATTTGGTACGCCAACGAGTTCATTTGTGGGAGCAAGACGACATACGAGTCGAGTGCAGCAAGCTGTGATACCGGGTACGGAATGGGCTGCGTGCACAGAAGCTGTGGCTGTGAAGGCTGAGGCGCAAGCGACTTGCTTAACGCACGACTAGCTGCGACATAGTGACATGGGCTCCAAATGGACCACACTTGTAGTCCCGACAGCGTTGCGACAAATAGGAAAGAGCTGTTGGCCGTGATGCTGGTAACGACCGAAGTGAAGTTGTAATGCATAACCACACGCCCCGATGCCGTCGAACCGTCTGTTTTGTCTTCGTTCTCGCCCGCATTATCGTCTACACTAGCAAAAAAGTCTCGACTTTGCCCCACAACGACCTTTCCTACTCTGATGGGCTTGTGCATGCCACTCGATTTGGTTCGCTCAGTCTTGCCCAATACCTTCTTTGACATTTTCTTCCTTGTTGAATCGACCTTTTCAGACAAGAAGTAATACAAAAACGCATCTTTTTCCGTTGCTACCAGCAAGCGCGTGTAGCTTCGAGTCTCAACGCACACACGGTTGTCAATGGTTTCAGGTAGAAACTTTAACGACCGCACACTGTGGTTAGGCGGCAAGTAGCGCCGCAACAGCACGCTCACGTCATTTTCGTCGATGAAATACGACATGGCTTGGTTCGTGCGGATGTCCTGACTTTTGACCAGACCTGCAAGATTCCACACTTCCTGTTGAGCTTCATTGCGTCCAAGTACCATGGGAATCTGCTCTTGCTCATCAAAAATTCGCTGCTCATCCTGTTCCCGTCGTGTCTCTCTCTCTATCGTACTGTACGCTGACCACGATACGGGAACTTCTACGAACGCGTCCAAGTCTTCCAAACTCGATATTTCCACACATTGCGACGAGTCTTCAGGAACTGCGTCTCCTTCTTCCTTCTTTATACTACTGCTTCCTTTCAACGCCGTCATTTTCTGGAGTAGTACTGCATCCAGTTTGGGCGTCTTGTCCACATCATAAGAACTTTTAACTTGAATCTCCATGACTCGTACTTCCATCTGCGAAGCATAAGCAACATAGATACCGTGAATTGCCACATATTCTACCTCTAGAAAGGCATGATGTTGTGTCATATCCACTTTGAGCTCCATCACATGCTCAAAAAATCCGTGACTACACTGCCAGATATTAAGCACTGTGCCCATAGCCACTACGACACGTCCTGTGAAGCTGCAGACAGCTACACAATTAGCTTTGTGACTGAATGAAAGATTTTTCAGTATTCCAAGGGGTAAAGTATAGCCCCGCACCATCTTACGCTCTCGCCAGTCGTGATATACGCATAAAAACGTCTCAGCGCCCTCGTCTTCATCATTTTCACCCTTTTCATCACTCTCTAGTGTCACTAAACTATCTGAAAAGCTTGTATAATGTAATGCGTACACGCGATTGTGAATGGATGCAAACTCGTGCAATAGTGCCGAGCATGAAGCTGCGTACACGCAGATGATTCCCTCTCTTTCGCTGGCTACAGCAAAAGTAGCATCGGACGTTGTGCGAGAGGCACTAGTCAGTGTCTGCGTGTCATTTGTCGCTATTCCTAACGCCATCGAGCGTACAAATAGCGACTCCATGTCTAATGTGCGCAGTATCAGATACTAAACACACTGGGATCAGATGCACAAACCCTGGACTCAGAACCTTTTTGACAAGCAACAGATGACTGAGTCCGCAGCTCGTTTTTATTCAAATGTTGCTTGAATGTGTGCAAAGCTCTAAGCTATTGTGTTAAACGGAATCAGTGTCCTCTCATTGAAGTGGTATCAGAGATGGAGACCATATAGATACAGTCAGACCTATAGCTTGAGATAGACGACAAAATATCGGTGCTCGCGTTGATTCAGAGTACAGGGCTTCATGCTAGAGCGACAAATCTCGGCAAGCTTGGTCCTGAGCTCGATTGATGGCCGCGCTTGGTGAGGCCAGCCTCTTCGTTGATCTAGATTCACTAAACGCATCACTTACGCGTTAGTGAGATGATTGAAAAGGCACATTTGTTCTTGGAAGCGTTTGAGGTGGGAAAATGGCGTCTGTATTAGTGGGTGGAAAACGTCAAGGTGAACAAGTAAGGGAATGCTGGAGAGAGTCTCGACAGCCTTGGACTACTTTTGAGAGAACGTGGTAAATTGGTGGTCGGTATTCCCACAGCTCACATTTGTTCTTGATGTAATGTTCAAAATGTTCCAAGGGACTTGACATACGAGCAAGCATCACCACTATATCTGGATCCCAACCAACGAGCTCGCAGACGTGGTCGTAGCATCTGCTTCATTTGGTCCATCTCGCACGCTTCAGGTAGAGGAGCGAACGGTGCGTCGTGGACAACATCGTGAAGCACACCGCGATCCACAACAAGCAAATGATGATAGTCCGGATGAACCCAGCACGAAAGACGACGCGGCACACGTGAACGAACTCGCCACGTGGGCGGTCATTGTAAGCGAGAAGAAGTTCAAGAAGAAAGCTGAAGCTGATGGCGATACTGACTCAACCATCATCCAATCAGAGTCTCAGTCAGTAAGGAGTCGCCACTATTGCAATTTGGTCTCCACTATGCAATGAGGTCCCTGAACGTTTGGGAGTCCGCGATAATAGCGGCATCGACGGAAAGCAGCGGACGGTTGATGAGCTAGATTTTTTCAATTATGGCCTGGTTCATCGAGCAGGGGCAGTAATCTGTAAGCGGCAGCTGGCAGAAACGGACGTATGTCGAAGCAAAAGAGGCACAACGCCCCGTGACTCCTTTCTTGAGTCGTCATGACCGGTTTTAGTAGTAGTTAGTTAATACGCTGTCCGTACGACAGGAAAAAAGATGATAAGGAGTAACTGCAAGAAGCTTGAGACGCAGTAAGTGGTGATGATGCGCCGCTTGCCAATGATATAAATAAAGCATAATGGATACAACAAAAGCTTGAGGAGGCGGTGTAACGCAAAGAAGACATGACAAAGTACTTGCATGATTAGTTGCGTTGGTACGTATGTCAACCGAGATATCAAACATATCTGAATATCCTCGTCATTTGCTGTAAGCTAGACATGAACCGCTGATGCGCTCGAGGCCTTTGTTGTGTCAGACAGAGTACAGATTGATCCACGTGGTTGGCCAAGCAATTAACGACGTCTCAAAACGTTTCATCACAAGAATACGGCATGAACGCCATGTCATTTCACTTATGGGACGTCTTCGTGGAGTATCATCTTGATACAAACTGTACCCCCAACTATACACAACTGAAGAAACTGCTATGTGATATTTCATGCGCTTGTAGGCACGTACGTGCTCTTACAGAGTAGATTTTCAACCTGCTCGTCGCTGTCGCTTCCTCTGCGACCTCCGCAACGATTGATCCTTTGCGTCCTCTTCGTGCACCTTCCCCACTTCCTTCTCAGATGAAAGTGGCATCGTCGCAACGTTGTGTCGCTTTCGCTTTGCATCAAGCAAAACGGCCTTCGTACTTAAAGTCAATGCTTCGTTATGCGCTTCAGCATAGAGACACAACTGCACACGCTGTGCCGTCCACAAGTCAGTAGCTTCGGATTTGTCGTCGTTGTTTGCAACTCGCTGTTCGTTCAGCCATTTTGCCTTCGCGCGTAGTACTTTTACAAAGCTCAGAAAGTGCGGGAGCGTGTATTTGCGAGGACCAATGATTCCTACACACTCAACACCACGTCAACCACAAACGTTAGTAATCACACTCATTGTCTTATCAGAACGGACAGGCCAAAAGATGTACGTGCCAAAACGCACCTGCAATCGCGTCCAGCGCTTCATCTGCCATGAACGGCACGCTCTCGTCGTACGCTGCCAGTACCGCTGATGCTGTGGCAGGTCCAACCTGAATAAAGTCACCACACCGTCAGTAATTAAGGTTTCACTTCAAAGATGTAGCTAGTAACGGACACAAACATGTCGCCTTTCATGTCTAGTACCATACCCCTTTCAGCACACAGAGCGCTTCTGTAGCAGTCCGGAGGTCCCCAGCCTTGAGTGTTTCAAATGCTTCACGCGATGCTTTCTCTACTTCTTTCTCACTCAAACTCATGATAAACTTCATCAACTGTGGCCGCCTGTATCAATCAAACATAGTAGAGTCAAGAGATGGTCCTACACGTCTCAACGTCTACTGCAGCTTTAACAAAACCTTGTAACACACCACTTGCCCTTTTTCAGCTTCCACTCCATGAGTCTCTGTAGTTCCTCATGTGTTATATACGGCTTAGGTTCACGTGTTTGTAGAATCGATGGAAAAGAGACCAGATACCAGGCATCCAATTCCGTCAGGTCGTTTTTCTAGAATAAGATACAAATAGACACAAACGTCATTACAAAAAGCCTCGTCTTCTTACTAATTACATCGATAGCAATCTTACCTGCATTAATTGCAGTACATCGTCATAATGTGTCCAGATTGTAACCCATGGCACTTCATTTAACGAGCTCCAAAGCATCGTCACTTTGCTTCGATCGATGGCGTGATCATACACTGCACAGAACGCGAACAGTCGTTGGCCTGTATTTTAGCGTTTGATTTTGTTTCATTATGAGAGGAATGAATACTCTTAGAAATCATACCCTGTCAAATCAAATTTGTTTTGTAACGTCTATATTCAAACCCAAGAGTCAAGAAACAAGAAACCATTTGTTTGTCTTTCTCGATTGGCGAATATATTATATCTTACAGGCAAGAAGTATATTCGACGGAAGGGTGTTTGTTATCCCCTACCCTCCGACTCTCTTTTTTTTTCAACTCGCACGTAAGTAAGCACAAAATTTTCGGCAACAAACCAAGTAAAAGTAGTTGTATCGTGTCTTTTGTTACTTTTACTTACCGCTAACTTCACAACGACGTTTGTCAAGTCGATCAGTTGTTTGTTTCTTGCCTGTCCCATATTAGCAGTTAACTTTACTCATTCTTTTCTTCAGTCTTGAATAGGCACTAGTTCTAATAGTTAGATTAAGACTATATATAATCATGGATGAGAAAGAAGCTGCAAAGGCAAAGCTCCTTATTGCTACATTACAGAAATACGGCTATGATTTAGAAGACCCTACGCGCACAAGCTTTACTAGTAGCACAAACTCAAGCGATGGATCAACTGAATGGAGTCCCGATGATGATATAGAGCCCGTTGCCGCTCGCCGTTGTAGCGTCGCGTCGTCTGCCGGTATCTTGGCGCTACGTGATCGCAAGAATCAACAGAGCGCTTTACATATTGCTGCTAAAAAGGCACATTTTGATGTATTGCGTGCACTAGCAAATCTACCGAAAGTATCGGACCACTTGAATGCTGGCGATCGACACTGCAATACGGCACTACACTTTGCTGCTAGCAGTGCTAGGTCAAAAGCACCGGATATGGTGGAGCTGCTACTGAACTTGGGTGCAAACCCGTTGGCAACGAACGTTCGTGGTCAGACACCACTGGCTATTCACATTATGACAGCTAAACCAGAAACACCGGTGACGATTACGAAACTCTTTATCGATAAGTTTCGACAGCTGAAACCCCCCTTGTCCTCGCTGGCACCACCGTCACCGTCATCACCAACGGATCTACGCGCCCAAGCGCCGTGTGCGATACTGAACGAGCTGGTCAATGGTACCACATATTTGCATATGGCAGTGGATCGTCAATTGGGCGAAATTGGTGGTGCATTGGTGCAGGGAGGCGCTTCCATTAACGTGCCTGACCACAATGGCGTCATGGTGAGCGATACGATCCCAAAAAAGATGCTGGTAAAGCTTATTACTTTCATGACGGAAGGCTCTCAGGTTGCTCCGCCCGACATTGTACGCGGCAGCTGCAAGATTTGCCGTAATCCAAAGAGCCTGTTGGACCCTCTGAAAGATTGCATCCTGTGTGGCCGCGCTGTCTGCAAGAACTGCTCGAAGAAAGCGTCCGAGATCCGCAAAACAACGTCAGATGGCAGCCATGCAACGCTGAAGGACAAGGACGAGGGCAGATTCTGTGCTGTTTGCTGCACTGTCAAGATTTTGAAAAGTAAAAAGCACAACGAGCGCGAGAACTTCAATAAGAAGCTAATGGGCTGTGGCATGAAATAGACTCGTGGGCGACAAGAAGCACACAATTAGTGGTGGTACAACATAAGGAGAGAATGGGAGACATCTTTGATATTGTGTTGCTTGATGTTACTGTTTGGTTTGCTTTTGCCTTTAACTTGCCATGCATTTATCAGAATCAAAGGTTGAAGAGATGTGAGAACGAGTCTTTGTAACCTTGTGATGCAAACTTCAGCACACAAGCGTGTTGTACAACAGGTATGCACGTGAAAAGACTCTGCCAGTATAAGCAAAAGTAAGCGCCAGCCCGGACGAGAAGAAAGCGTCATGTTCCACAAGATGGTTACGCGATATCTTGTACAGGAAGAGTCTTGGGATCGTGAGAGCGAGCAGATTGCCCACCACTGAACGACAAAAGCCATTACAGTGTCCACATTACGCGAGGATATAGAAAGCACGCACGCGATGAACAGAGAACCATAGACCTGCCGTATGGAATGGCAGACACTCGCAATCGTGGCCAATCATCAAATTTGCACAAGCTGACGCAGCGGTTGGAAAGTTGCTGATACCAAGCGCAAGTTACGCACCGTGATGAGCGTTTCATCCGCCGCAAATTCTGTAAGAATGTCGCTTGGTGGTTGTCCGTGAAAGCACGCGTATCCAAGTACGCAAAGAGTAGACAGACAACGAATCCTCATCCCACAAGCGCCTTGTTCACGTGTGTTATCTGCGTCTTTTGTCGTAGACTTCCGAGTACATGCGCGAGACGTTCAATTGACCCACGATAATAAATGTAGCAATGGGTAACGCAGTCGAGAATGCCGCGAGATTTGGATAGAACTCGTTCGCTGGTTTATTCTGTGCAGCAGGTTTGACGTCATTCTGTGCTGCACGTATTCCGCGCCACGAGTATTTAGAGCAAACACAGCAGCACTAGCATGTTTGCGAAGCGGAGCTCGCGCATGGTCTTTGGTAGACGTAAGGGTATGACCACGAGCGTAAAGAGCAGGCCGATGATTCGACAACTTATGTATTCATCAAGAACGGCTCAAGCAAGTCCATGGCGAGCAACATGTAGCTTAGCGTCGCTCCAATAACAGCGCAAATGTCATCAGCCGCACAGTCCATACACCTGCCGAGCCGAATAATCGGGAGCTCAGCGCCTCACACGAGACTCACAGACAGCGTCACAGCAAACGATAACTCCCTTAAAAGCGTCATAGGTCAACAACGCGCTCATGAAGAGAAGAAGCAGTGCTGAAACTTGTCCGACAACTTGTACGATGCTTAGAAACGTCAGCACAGAGGAATTCATCATAGTCGTGGCCAGATCAAAAATGCGGAGAAGGCGGAACCTTTTTCCGTGTGGTCCGGGCTGCGGGTTTGAACAGAGATTGAGAGAGACGAGGAGACGGCCGCAGCGCTGAGTCAATTGCAAATTTGTCTACTTTCATCGTTTCCAGCAGCGGTGACACCTCGACGGAGGTCATAACGACTATGATAGACTATATTGATTCTACCGTACGTAACGATTGTCATGCAATCGTACATCCTGTAACAGTGATAAAAATCCATAGTCTGCCATAATTGAGATGCTTTTACTGTTCTTACTATTATATTACCCAATACAGAATAAGGGCCTGGAGTGCTCGGAGGACAGTTGGTATACTCCATTTGCTAATATATAGCGTTCTACCTCTAATCATGACCTCATTTCCACCCATTCATAATTCAAAGTAGCCAACCAAACTCGTGTCAATGAGCACTATGACAGCCAATGGTATACGGAGCAGAACAGAGCGACCGGCCGGTAGAAGACCTGCAACGTAGTAGCATGTCGGCGGCAAGAACGGGATAGAATAGCAGCAAGCGGGCACGATACAGGTCAACTCGTGATGATGATCGATATCTAAATGCTGACGGACATGCACAAGAGCAAAAAAAATCGGGTTTGGATGCAACGACATGTCGATAAAGCTAATGAAGAAGCACGTATCTATATTCATGCCAGACGAGGCCGACGATTCTGGCGCGTGTACGAACAGGTGTACGACAAACGCAAGTAGCAAAGAGTATATGTTAGCGAGTTGTTGTTCTCGCAGTCGACGTGAGTGGTCGAGCCGTTCTTGAATTGGTGTACCAGGGAACGACTTCGCGTAGAACGTGAGTGTTGCATTGCAATACTTGAGACCGTAGCTGCCATACGTATCTAGGTCAGAGTAGGTGCATCTTAACATGGCAGTAGTTACAGCCATCAGACACCATCCTAGAAAAGACTTGGGGCGGCCACGCAGCGTGGACACTCACTCGATCGATAGCGATGAGAGCTGCGTATTATAGTTCTCATAAGACAACAAGCAGCAAATGATGAATAAGTCTCTCTCGGTATGACCAGTGACACTTTAACGTTGCGCATGGTGACATCCTGGCAACGTACCATGAATAGAAAAGAGCTCACTATCATCTGAATGGACAAGCGCTTTGCTCAACTGAGGAACTGAATATTTGTCAATTGAAGTCTCGAAAGAGAATTGCAAGGTTTATGCTCAAGATCAAGCACTTCCAACCAGCAGCGTTTCGACGCTTTCGAGGCTGTCATAACATTTTGACGTAATGAAAGTGTACATGTCTGAAAGCTTTAAATGTTGTTCCTGATGCAATCGTTTTCTTTCAAGCGGTAGGGGCTACAAAATACACCACTCAACCTCCTGGCTTCATTAATGTCTTAGCATGGACATAGTAGCAGCAGTCTCTTGAATAGACGGTACATGTACTTTGTTGCCTAGACGCAGATACATAATTTATCATGTTGGAACAATTACGATGAAGACAAGTCAATTGGTAACAAACATACTATTGAAACATTCGATTGTGGTGAAGAATATTTATGACATCGCTTTCAGATTCAGATATAGATCAACCAAACAAGACCTGAACCTTAAGCTCAGCTCAAAAAAGTCGTGAACGCACACAACAGACGTGACTGCTTCAGGATTCTTACCACCACTGCACCAATCGAAACTTTCGGTTTCACGTTTGTCTCTTTGTGTCAGAGGTGAGGAAAAATCCACAGGTCAAGAAAACAATGTTGGTAGTGGTCAAGTACGATCACTCGAAAACCATTAGGTTCCAATCGACCTAACGAGCGATCAATTGTTGCCAACGTCTACGTTGTTGGTAGAAACCATCTCATCCTTCAAAACACTTTTTTCCATCTTTTCTTTTCCTCTTCCTCTTCTTCTACTTCACCTTCGTCTACTTTGTCTTTTCGATTCATGATGAATACGTGTGAAGTGAAGGACGTGCGAAGGCTGCGTCCGGCCGATCACATTTGCATCTGGGACACCAGTCGATGGCCGTTCCGATACACGCACCACGGCATTGTGTACACTGCTGGAGAAAACGCGGACGTCATTTCTATCGCCCATGTTTGGTCCCGCAAGACGGGGCTGCGGGAGTCGCAGGCAGATTCGCGTTTCCAGATTACAAGTCTCAGTGAGTTTCTGAACGGGAGACCATTGCAAGGCATGCGCCGAGTGCAGTACAACTCGTCGTTGGTGGCAGAAGCTAGCTCCCTGTTGGGAGAAGTGCATCGAACACACGCTGACGCGCCCCCTGTGGTGTTGGCGCGCTGTCAATTTCTATTAGGTCTCGGCCAGGGACATTTTAGCATCTTATCGTTGAACTGCGAGCACGTGACACTGTGGTGTACGACGGGTGTGGGCTGGTCCAAGCAAGTGCTGTCTCGGGCGGAGACCAAGGTGCCGTTCTTGACGTCGTCTATGAAGTCGGCACAAGCGCTAGTGCGACTGGAACTGCAGTTGCGGGACATTCGAGAGGCCGCAAAGGAAAAGAACAGGCAGTTAGAAGAGCTCCGAGGTAAACGAGTCTACTTGCGACTGAAAGGTACTGGCAAGTTTGCAAAGAGATTTGGAGACGAACTGTTTCTTGTACAGGATGATCCGAGTGAAAAGGACTGGGCCTTCCGTCAGAGACCGACGTCGCTGAGGTTAGCAGTTCGCGCCTCGGCTTATAATTGCGTGTGTGTAGAATTTGCAGACTACGAAAGATCTGGGGATGTGCTGTATGCGAGTTCAAGCGGATTAAAACTTACGCGACGCATGACGATGCATCTCAAGAGGGGGGTTCCAGTTTGATTTTGGATGGGAGGGAGAACTGCAGAGCCTGCGTCATCGTCGATGGTTTGTCGGAGCGCAGACTCGCAACGGACTGCTGTGCCCATTTATTTCGCGAGAGAAGGCTGCTACGTTTGAGATTATTGATGCTGATGCATTGGATGCTCAAAGCCCAATGATCGAGCCTTTCGTTAGGGACTCGGTAGAATGCGAGTCTCATATTGTTCGAGCCATGACAGGATCCGAGTCAAAATCCGAGTCTGAACCTGAAATGGGGCTGGACGAAGACGAAGAGAACGAAGGTATTAGCTGACCTTTCGAGTGGACAGCCTCGATCAACGAAGCGTGGGCAAGTATCATTATACCAAGACATCGATGGTCATGTCACTGAAATAGTTTTAACGCACAAACATTGTATTTCGTGCGTCTTTATCCACATGTGTTTGTCGTGTGTCTTGTGTTTGTTTCTGTTGTTTCTAGACAGCAGTGAGAGGTGATATGGCATATATAGTGCTGCTCATTGTCATTCAAGGAGTCAACAACGTTTCATGATCTTTTTGATATCAATACTTATCACGTTTCCCTCTAGTACTTTATATTACGATGAAAACAAAAGGTCTGCAAAAATATCATAATTTCTAACAAACTAAAGAAAAACCCTGAAGTAAGCAGTTTTTTCTCTTTTTTCACCCACTTGTACCAAAACAAAAGATAAAAACACACATCTAATCATTATCTAACCCTCAAATTGCAACCACTATTTTTTCTTAAGAAGAAGAAGACACACACAAACAGCAGCAGCAGCAGCAGAAGACAAGACGTTGCATCACATTGTGCAACCTTCGCCACACATTTCACTCTCTTTCTCTCGATGGTAGCTCCAGGCGCAAAGAAATCACAAGCTCTTGATCCAGCAAGGAAAGAGTCATTACGTGCACAGTATGAAGCTTTATCATTAGTCGAAGAACGTTTTCATAATTTTGATATTGTGTGGGCAAAAGTACATGGATTTCCATGGTGGCCGGGTGTATTCTTTTATTCCTGGGAGATCGTACTTAATGCTGGTATTCGTACGGATCCAAAGATTGTAATGGAACTAGTGGTCCCACCTCCTGAGAAAACAAGCACATGTGATGGCGTGACAGGTCAAGAAACTGGCAGATTTCATATGAAACGACATTGTTTAATTATGTTTTTAGACAAGTTTAATTTCTCAGTCCTGGAAATTAATGCAAATAATGTCGCAGGTTTTACAACCCATTATCATTTATATGAACGTGCCGTGATGGGAAATAGAAGCAGTAAATGGGGAAAAAAGAAGGCAGAATTTAAACGGGCGATTGTAAAAGCCGTACAATTATTACATTTGGTGAGAAAGAAGAAAAAGAAGAGAGAGGGAGAAATCGACAAGGAGTAGGAGTCGAGTGAGTGCGTGAAGATATTTGTGACTGATTTTGTATCTTTGTGTATCTGTTGTTTTCTTTTGTAGGGAAAAGAGTATGGAAAAGAAGAGTTGATTATGTTGGAAGAACCAAGTGTAGTAGAGAAAAAGAAGAAAGACGTAAACATGGAATTTGAACGAAATGAGAACGATTGGATGGATGATGGAAATGGTGATATTTCTGAGACGGGATATGATGCAGCAGCATTGGGTATCGAGGGCAGAGAAAGCGGTGTTGCGCAATCAATTGTGAGGAAAGAACATGTGACGGAAGTGAAGGACGTGGAAAATGACAATGAAGTGGTGATTTTGGTACCGGCAAAACCACGGTGGCAGGAAGAATCATCAAAGGAGGTGGAGCGAAGGGTACGGAAGCGGTCGCAAAGAGAAGATTACGACGCGCCACATGTTGCAATTGTGTCGCGATCGCCGTCTCCTATTGATTTGACAGAGACTCCCGTAAAGAAGCCACGTGCGGTGTACAATAATAACGCGAATGGCAAAGGGTCGGAGACTTCACCGAAACCTAAAAAGAAAGAGGCGAGTGCTGAGGCTGATGAAATGGAAATGATGAGCTTAAAAAAGAGCAGTGCTAGGGTCCTGGTGATGGAAAACGGCGTATCGAAACGTCTGACTGAAAAAAAAGATAAAATGTGCTTTGATGCAACTGCAGGTATCATAGAAGACAAGGAGCCGAACAGTCTGGTACTGTCACCATTATCCAGCATTTGGACGACAGGAGTGTCACGTGATTCAAGTGATTTAGCTCGAAAACACACGCAGCTGGCATACAAACAAGATTTCGTGTGGGATGGTGCTGTATTTACAGACGAACGAAGTATTGCAGAGAAGGAGAAGGCTGCGATTGAGCGAAAGCAGGCTGAAGATACTGCAAGTGGACGTGAGCGTTCGTCGGGCAAGCGCCAGTTACGGTCCGTTCAGCAGTCGCAAATTCGTCAAAACATGATGACAGGAGATTTGGATCCACATACAATGGTACAATGTGCTGTCTACCGCCCGAAAGATTACGTAGATGATCCCAATAGTCGCAGTCGAGGTGGATTTACGCTTGACCCTCCATTCCAGGTTGTAGTGCATCCAGATGCAGTATTTGTGGCCGATCTCCATGCACACCTTGCCACTTGCGAAATCATTGGCTTCTTAGGTGGTAAATGGGATGAAGCATCCAAGATACTGTATATACAGGCTGCGTTTCCTTGTCGCTCACTTGTCATTGATGGTGACGATGGTTCTACTGATGTGGAGATGGATCCGGGCAGTGAGATTGAACTCCGCGGTATTATTGAAAATGCACAACTTGAGGTTGTAGGATGGTATCACTCGCACCCAGCGTTTGCACCTGATCCATCTGTACGAGACATTGAGAATCAAACCAGCTATCAACAGCTATTCCAGCGCCCCAATACCACGAAACAAGGAAGTGCTGACACCACATTGTCGGAGCCATTTGTAGGTTTAATTGTTGGGACGTACGATACTCGACGGAGTACGCCAGTGAGTCTCTTGCGCTTCTTTCACACACGTGTGGAGAAAGTGAGTGGCGGTGCATGCCGCGAGATTTATATGCCATACGAGTTTATTCCAGAGAGGCGCCACTTTCGGAAAGTGTTGGAGGACGAGGAACGTGAAAAGACACGCTTATTTCCCATGTATCGATCAGTCTTGCAGTACTTTAGTTTTGAGCTGGCAGCCACCCCGCATCAACTGCCAATGGACATTAAGACCACGCCAGCACAGAGAGCGATGTCGAGACTGTCGCCGACAAGAGTGAAAGTTTGCGGTTTTGCCAAGAAGCGCAAGCAGAAATTTGACGGTGCAGTAGATAAGCCAATGAAAAAGGCAAGGGCAAGACGCAGGCGCTCTGTGCACTCCTTTTCTGCTGCAGAGAGTCACATTGACGTCGCAGGTGCTGGTGACAACGAAAGTTTTGAAGTAGTAGAAAACGGGACGTTGACACCAACCAATACGCTCGGGACTGGTCATGATGGGAGCACAGATGTGGTCACTGAGAGCGAAACAATCACTTTGGATAGTGTTTGTGAAGAAAAAAGGATGATAAGCATTGCAGCATCCTCAGGTGGTGTTGAAGAAGACTCAGAGAGTAACGCTGAGGAAGGGAAGTCGGAGCTTTGCAGCGTTGACTCACAAGTCGCTGAGGTCCTCGCGGACATTATCGAGACTACACAAGCTACCAACAGCAGTGAAAATGGATGCGATTTGCCACAGATGTTGAAGCAAAGCAATGAGACCTTGGCCAGTTCAGATGGGGCTGAGTGCAACCAATCGATAACTGAGAATACCGTAGCTCCGTTGCCTCAGGCCTCAACGGTGTGCGAAGACGTGATGCAGCACACGATCAGCCATTCAAATGACGCGGCAAAAGCACTGGAGACTGATCTTACCGTGGACACAATTGCTGAATCAACTGATACGCGCGTTCCTCAATCGTTGTCAGCCTTTTTCTCATCTGCAATAAAATCAGGTGTATTGCCATTAACAAACGTTAGCATTTCCAGTCGTAAAAGGACCCGCAAACCCAAAACGACAACGCGAAATAGTAATCGATCGATTTCTCCCAGTGTATCGCCCGGTGTGGTGCCTTGTCAGACCAATTCGACAGGCCAGGCGTTCTATGATGCATTTCGGCCGTCAGGGCCTCGTTTTGCAAATGGAGGTACGCTTGAGGTCATGCCACTTTTCAGCCGTCCTGACGGTTCAAAAGGCGATTCAGTAGTAGAAGACGTGCGGTATATAGTTGTTGATGAAACCATGGGCTTGACTAGCCATGGCAGCGATTACTCAGCCAAAGCGAAGGACGACAAGCTTGTTCAGGTCACAAAAACTACAGATGATGACTACATTAAGCAGGAAATTCAATGTTTCGTGACCTCTCTGGTGGAGAAGGTGGCGGAACGAGTGGTTTCAGAGATTCGTGCTGGCACGAAAGTAAACGTGCAGGGTAGGACCGAGGAAATGTTGATGTCAGTTTGTGAGATGTCGAGCGTGTTTTCTGACAGCTCCACAGTCCAGGCGTCTGTGGATGACGTGAAAATGGAAAGTACAAGTATGAAGCCCGAGTTTACTGTAAATGTCGATGTGAAAAAATCTACCATGCATGCTGGTCTACAACTTTTTGGAAGCAATGGTGAGTGCGAAGATATCCAGACATCTTTGCAAAAAATGGCAGGTTATCTGGACAAATTGAAGTCTTCTCAGACTACCATGCCAAGTGCAGCAAAGACCGAACATCAGCACGACTCAACACCTGACACAGAGCCCGAAGTCGTGGTGGTGCGTGCTGAGCTCAAGCATGGGGAACCCAAGGTTAAGCAAGATCATCTTGCTGCGTTGCGAACAAAGTATGGTGCAGGTGTAAGCGGATGCGCCGAACAAGTGATCACATTGGTGGATTACTATCGCGACTTTGAGCGACGTACCGACCTGAACGAGATATGGAAAGCACGGATGACCAAGCTAGAAAAAATTGAGAGCTCGCTCTCAGAATACGTTCAGTATCTGAATATTCCTGTGGCTCTTCGACGTGACTTTATCAAGGTACGCAAAACAATTTCACCTACATTTAATGATTTTGTTTTCCATGCAGTAACTGGTTGTATGCGTGCCGTAGGACCTCATTTTATATTTGCGCAAGTCGTGGGCGATAAACGACCGGCGGAGATGAAAACTCGTGGCTGCGATGTCGTGATTTATGTGTGCAAGATCCACTAAGGGAGGAATATATCGTCACCTCCGAAGTAGCGCAAGGCACGACGAATGTGGTTTTAGTCATTCGCGACTCTATCATCAACTATCCTATTTCGCAGGCACAAACCTGGAAGCAGCCAGGAATTACCTGCCTGGGCCATCTATGACAGGCTCATCATTGTACCGACTGACACGCCGCAGGATAGATCGCGGTTCACGAGACGGATGCGGTACAGGTGGCACATGCACCATATGCTGGTTTGAATATTCCGAACGGCGGTAAGAGGACACTGAGTACGAAGATTCCAGGGGTTGTCTTAGGGCGCCAGGAGGGTCCTTTCTCCTGAATTTTTGAATGCTCCACCGTTTGCCAAAGCGGAGCCTTTGTGCTCTTCCATATACTCCATCTGGACCGCCGGCGTCTTCGTGCTGGTCCGGGTTTTGGTCCTGTGTTGTGGGCGCTTGAGACGTCGGTGCTATCGCATTTTTTATAGGTTGGACTCGGCTGCCCTGGCAGAGCCTTGTGTCAACGTTTGTGGTGTCGTCGATGCAAAAGCGAGAACGTGAAAGGTTTTCCCTCTGTCTCATCCAATCCGGTTTCAAATTACCTCGCACACAACGGGGAACTGGTAATTGGGACGGAGCATGTGCAGCTACAGATCGTTGTGATTGTGCGACCTGCTTTGGACGTGATAGCCTAGGGATCAGTGTGTTGTCTTGTGACACGTGGTGCCCGGCCAGCATTTCCGAAGATGACGAGACCTGACGCTGAGATCGATGCGATGGCGGTAACTGCCGTCTCTTCCATTGAAGACTTCGACGCCCAAAAGATCCACCACGCCCTCCTCGCCGAGCTTGTTGCTGAGGTCGATCAAGTAGATGCTGAGTGTGGACAGATGCCTTGGGCACAGGCTTTGAAGCTGAAGGTATATTCTTGATCCATGAAGTCTTGACCCATTTCGCCAAAGCTGAGATGCATTTTGGCAACGCACGTCGGCGCCCTGGTGGTCCATGTGTTTTGCTCAAGTAATTGATAGTCTTACCAATATTTGATGCAATGACTTGGTCTCGTGAAGGTGTTGGAAGCATAGCCACGAGCTTCAACACATAAAGCAATTCGGCGTCACGCTCCATCAGCTGTCGCATCTTTGCTACTAAATTAGTAATACTGTCCTCTTTGTTTTCTATATCGTCATCGTCAAGAACTTCAGTTGCAAACAAGTTCAGCAAATGATTGAGCACAAGTAATCCGCCAGCGTCCATGAATCGGATCACGGCATCACGGTCTCGTACATCAGAGTTGCGTAGCAAGTCGTACTGTAGAGCAATCTTCACGGCGCTAGCTTCGCGACGATCCAGTAGGTTTAGCAGTGCTGTTCGTAGGAGCTCAAATGCCATGGTGCGTTTCGGCAATGGTTTTACGGCCACATGCGGCTTCGTATCAACGATATAAAACGGCACTTCTTTCTGCGTCTCATGTTGCACTGTGTCTACCGGCATTGTATCAATCGCCAGCTCTTTGTTATTGAGTTCTTTTTGGTGGCATCTTTGGATCTTGACAACATCATCCTGGCTCATCGCATCGTCTCTATTAACCTGCATAGGTTTCTTCAATGGGTGACTCGCCATCTCTAGCGAGTTTTCTCGCGTAGCACTACTACCTGATGCACTACTTGTAATATCCAAACTATTCATCTCGGTCTCCATCTCTCTATCTGTATTAGCTATTACCTCCATATGATCAACAAATACAACGTCATCATCCTGTTCATCATCATCGACCATGTCCTCTACCACAGCTACAGACCCAGACGGAATCTCCTGGACATCCAAGCTGCTAGTAGTCTCAACCCGTTGTCGTTTTCGACACAATGGTCCAAGCTTGTCGTTATCCACATATCCATCATTCTTCCATATTCGAGCATCCCCATTGCATTTCTTCGTCGGATCAGGTGACGAGAAAAATGGCGACTTAATCAATGCAATCATCCCATCAATAACAGCAGATTCCGAGACTTTTTCCGTTGATCCGTCTTCATATTCCACAAGATATTGATCTGCAAATGGTAAGAAACACTTGACAAGACCCTTTTTGTCTTGGTCAATCCATTTTTCATCTGTTTTTGATGCTTTTTTCCCATGAAAACGTAAGTTTACACCCAAATATCGACTAGTTGTCGTGTCTTTTATTGGTGGTGGATATTTATCCTGATCATCATCATAGAGTGTAATATGAGGTGCTGATAGGAATTTCATCACTTCACCACGTGCCAATGAACGAGGTTCTCCTCCACCAGGTACAAATAGTGTATAAAAATCCAATGCTTCATCATATCTTGTAAGCCATCCATGCTCTTCTTCTTCTTCTTCTTCTCTCTCTTCTTTCTTCTGTCCTTGATTTCGTCGTACAACATGCAAACCTACAAAGCCAAAGGGGTCCTTGGTCTCAATATAAGCCATCGAGTGCTGTCGATTTTCGTATTAGGTACACAGAGCTTATATTATATATGAAATAATATATCTCTATGTATAAATGCCTTGCAAAGACCACAATAATTATCCCAAAAAATGACTTTGTACTGCTACTTAAGGACACAGCAAGAAGCAAATTGTCGCGTTTTTTTATGGATTTTTTCCTGAATTTGTTTATGGTAGATGTTTGTATTAGAAGGTAAACGATGAAAAGTCAAAACAAATGGAAGAGGGAAATGGACCAAGTTACGAGAAAGGAACGCACGAGTTCTGCCGCTGGTATTGTGATAAGCGAGCTGTTTTGCTTTATTTTGACCAATTATAATCGATTAAAAGAGATTATGTGGCAGCAAAAACTACTTCACACAGATTTGATTTGTGATATTTTCAATTCTAAATATTCGAAGCTTTATGAATCGTTCTAAATGGTAAAAATTAAGAACTGATTCAAAACTATAAAAATTATATACAGCCTTTATTTTAGCGTATCAACGTATTGAATAGAGTCCGCGTTCTCGCAAAACCTACGCAGTATCATACAAAAGGAACAATAAATAATGGGACGACTGAGTAAGACGCCGGCAGTATTATCGCTTAATGGACAACCACAGGTGACGTTATACATGAATACAGACAATAATGATAACAATATGGAGCAAATACACCATACAGAGTCATCCATAATTGTAGGTGAACCAACACTAGAGCTTATGAAATTACTTGGATCTTTAGTCCGATTGCGTATCTCCGATGGTCGTGTGATTCTGGGACGTTTTCACTGCTTTGACAAGCAACAGAATGTGATTCTAAAGGATGCAAGAGAGTTTGCACCTACAGTTATCAAGACGGCAACGACGACTCTTAGTAAGAGTAATAAGGATAAAGAAGCTATGGCTGCTCAAGCAAAGGCACGAGATCAAGAGGAAGAAATGCGTTTTACCAGTTTAGTATTGCCTTCAGGTAGTCGTTCACTTGGAATGACACTTGTACCGGGCAAACATATTGTATGTATGAAGGTCCAGTGCTAAATAGTTGAAATCATTCATGACTTGGAACTCTTTCGTGTCTTTTGTTGTGCTTGTTATCCCAGTCGATTCTCCTCGAGAACTTGAGCTTCCTTTTCATCAATGAACGTGTCGACGTTAATAATCATCTCTTTGACAAGAGATGTGATAGCACAATCCACGGCGTTATTGCTTTCACATGGCATTTTCTTCTTTTCTGGACGCAGGATAAACTGTGCAAAGTGATGCGCTAGTTTAGCTGCGTCCATCCCGTTCTTGGATGAATACATATTCACGTCGTTCAAGTGGAAAAGCAGACAGGCTAGCATCGTTCTGTGATCAAGCACATCAAAAAACAACACAATGGTGGAGCTTAGTCCTTGATAAAATAGGAGTGGCAGAACCAAAAGAGCGTACAGATTTTTCGTGGGCAGAGCTTTAAGCAACGCACAGAGTTTCGGACGAAGATCCATTGGCGCAGTTTGCGCCTTACGCGCAAGTGCTTCAAAGTCGTCGTACAATATGAACGGGATCAAAGGTTGCTCAAGCTGCTTTAACCACAGGCATACGACAGCACCGGCGGTAATGGCATCCAGCACTTCCTCCAACTCAATCTTAGTCGGTTTGCGAGTCACAGTCTCACCAGCAAACGCATTCAAGAACTTTAGGGCAGCCTGGACAAAAGAAAGTTAGCTGGGTGACAACAGTTACAAGGCAAAATATCCGTGACCTCACCTTTAGCTTTGTAGCATCAGGTTCGACCTCGTAGAATAGTTCTGTCTCAATGCCTGGCGTCGAATCGAAGATGAAGTTTATGGCGTTAATGGTAGCCTTCGGTACACATTCTCCCGGGCCCAATATCACAACAGACTCCGTATTTGGAGCACTCGACCGTTGCTGTGCTACAGCTTGGGGCTCTTTGGTCCCGCCGTTGACATTAGCGGTTGGCGTTCCACTGGTGGTCTTGCATGGTGAACCTACGTCAGGTCGCGGGCTATTGGCACTGCGCGTTAGCAACGAGTCCAACATGTTTACCCATGCTATCGTGATCTGTGGCGAGTCGGCAACTAAGCTGTACACCCGAGAGGATCGCGGAGTGCCGCCCTTTTCCTGTTTTGAAACTGTCGCCTCCGTTTTTTCGCTGTTCGAGTTTGTATGATTGTTACTGCTTGCATTCTCTTCGTCCGAAGAAACGTAGTCATCAGGATAATGTGTGCCCCAGCTATTGCGGCACGTGATATCGAAGCGACAGCCTTTGTATTTAGGGTGACTAAGCTTGCCGATACGCTGAATAAGTCGCAACGATATTGACCCAATCTCGCCAAGTGGAATTGGCCCCCAAGCAGACTGAACGACGTCTGCATAATAGCGAACCTCATTTGATTGTGCGTAGAGAACGAAGTAGCGTGAATTCCACTTCTTTAGTCCCTTCATGCCGCGGCGTTGTTTCTGACGAAGCCAACCCTCTAGCAGTACGCCACTGCCAGGTCTTCCGGGTAGTGCCCCAGGTACTTTACGAAGACCAGGACTGAGCACCTCATCGTTGTGGCTAATTGCCAACCTGGGCGATCCGCTGTAGTCAGATCCGCTTGCAGAATGTTTTAGCTGATCAGTGCGACGGTTTATAAGGACGATGGGAGCAATACCATTGCCTTTTGTCTGCACCTCTGCAGGTCTTCCAATTCTAGTTTTGCGACAAGGTTGAGTTTCTAACGTCGTGTGCTCTGATGCTGACGGCGTGTTCTTCTTCACAGAGTTATGGGCAGCAAGTAACTCCGATGACAATGCTGCTTTTCCATTGGCGTCGAATGTGCTTTCCTTTGTCCTTAATCTTTCGTTTTTGTCGATCGCCAGTCTGTTGAATTCAAACCGTGATTGATTTGCAGACATCATCAATGCAGGCTTGTCACACTTCCTCTTGGGCGACTCCACCATTAAGCCTGCAATATACAAGTCCCGATTCAAGCCCTTTTTTCTCTCATCTTGCTGATTGCTCTCAACTTTACTCTTCATAACCACTTGCTTCAAAACTACCTCGTCCTCCTCTTCATCCGAATCGTTATACCACTTTTTTCCCAATTGTCTCCTACTTGTCCGACTGCTTTCACTCCAAGACAGGGATTCCAGCGTATTCTGCTTCTTTTCAGTCTCAATATGCTTGCTCTTTATGCTCTTGACTTTAGTTTCTACTGTACTACAACGGTCCACAGCACCGTCTCCTTCCAAAGACTCTCTAGACCTTTGGTTCAAACGTCCTGACATCGGGTTTTGACGCACGTTGCCACCTAGCGGACACTCGTCATCCGAACTGTCACTTTGCATATCATTCACATACTTTTTACCTCTTTTCGTAGTGAAATCACTTGCATTGCGATGGAAACGCGAGCTGAATATGGTCGTCATGGAATACCGTAGGATCTGCTGGAGGACCGATCTTGAAGTGATGAGCTCAAAAGTGATACCAAGTTCAAAACAGATTTACAAGGGACCATGATCGAGCATTGAAATGGATACAGCGAAACGAGGTGAGACGGGCGGTAGCTTCAATTATATGATGTTCGTTAGCTTGCTCACTAGTAATGCTTACAACTCAAACTCCTCTTCATGAACGTCAAAGTTACCCCCCACTTAGTGCATAAACGGCCTCATTTGTCGCCATTTTTAATGCTTTTGGACCAGATACCATGACACCAATCACAGGTAGCAAAAAACTCGCAGAGCTATCGTCCATCTTGTGGACCTCCAGTGTCTGCTGCAAAAGAGAATGCATGTCGGGGCGCTTGCCCATCACGACGTTGAAATTGTCAAGAAGATCTCCGACAGTGTGGACATCGCCTCCAAAAGCAGCAATGTTTGATACGGGAGTTTCTGGTGCATAAATTGGTGCCGGCTCAGTGACTGCGTAACGGCGACGGAACATCACGTATTCGTACAATACAAAACCATGCACCACAACAATCGACAAGCAAAACATTGCAAGCTCAAAGGCGCGCTGAAGTGGCCACAGCTCAAAGTGATTGTCGCCCTGGATGACACCGTTACCCCATCGAACGTTGAAGAAAACCGCAATTGCTACGACGTAGAGCACCAAATACATGATAAAGCGTATCATGTTGCTTGAACGCAGAGGCTCGTAGAAAGGGCGAGCATCACGGCCCGTAGTAGACTTAATCGCTGCCTCGTTCGGAAGTTCTTTAGCAGGCGAGATCTCCAACTTTCGACCAAGGTCACTTTCCGAGTAAATGCCTGTCGCAAATAGATGAACTCGGAAAAACTGCTCGTGCGGGTCATGCTGACGAAGCTTGGCAAGCAAGGGCGCGACAGCTTGAAAAATACTGAGCTCACGAAACGTGAAGATGAAAGTAAAGCGCTGAGTCCACGAAACACCATTGCTGGACAGTTTAGCAGCAAGGTCATCCAAAATGGCTAACACAGGAGTCACGCCGATTCCACCACTAACCAAGCATACGGTAGGGTAGTCTTCGTACACTTCCAGCGAAGCACCATAGAAGCCATCCATATATATCAGCGGCGTGATGTTGTTATGGTGACACTCCTTAGCGTACTGCACTAGGCTCTTCGACCAGTCTCCAATAGGCTTGACAAACAGAATGACGTCGGTGGGGCTTGACTTCGGAGACGATGCAATAGTGAGCGCATGCCACTCGAGTTTCGAGACACGAGGCACGTTCAAGTAGAGAAAGTTACCGACCTTGTAGTCGTAAGATGATGCAGATGGAGACGTTCCCGGGGCAGCACGTTTTACAACAACCTTGACCAACTCGTCATCACCATCACCGATGACTGAAAACTCCTTCACCAAAACAGGGTTCATGGCGTTCCAACTGAAAGTAGCCCGACTAACGAGCCACACGCATCCCGAGGGCAGAATCCACCAGATGATCTGAGACCAGTGCAGGATTGCAAAGAACACAGCGATGGCAAACAGTACCCAGTGAGAGATATAGAACCACTCATAAGCATTGCGGCGGATGATAGGAAACGAAGTCGGGATTATAAGTATCATCGCGAGCGTGGAAATGAAGCCGAAAAAGTTAAACCACGCATAGTAACCGCCTCCCGAGTTATCCAACTCAAAGTCGCAGTTCGTGCAAGGAAACTGGTTGACCTGCCACGTGCCTAGTCGGACCCAGTAGCCCCAGTAGCCCGCCATATGCACCACGGTGGTGATGACTGTCATAAATCCGATCCAGCGGTGAAACTTGACACCATTGGCGTACGAGAGGTTAAGGAATTCCATCCAACCCGAGTTTCTCGTGACGGGTAGCAGTAGGAACGCCATGTTGTAAATAGCCAGGTACGCCGAGCTGATACCAACAATATTCCAGTACTTAGACGTGTTGAGTGTACCAGCTGCGGTAGCAGAGTCAATGCGGCGGTCCCACTGGAAATACCAGCAAAGACCGTTGCCGCCGAGAACGTAGACAACACCGAAGAGCCACTCGCCTACCGAGAACTTAGAGACACCCAATACCGGAAACTTGGGCTTACGACGCATGAGCATCGCAAAGCGCCAAATCAATGTCGATGTCAAGCGTCGAGCCGTATTGATGTGGCGCAAGTATTCGATAAGTAGCACACTGACAATGAAGGGAAAGATGCAGAAGATAAAGAGAAAGGTGGGGCGGATCATCTCCGTGTGGCCACTCTCCGTGATGTTTCGACCGATACCCGTGTCCACGATGAAGCCCATGTGGCCGTGGTGGCCGCTTGGGGATGACATGCCCGGATAGCCATTCCACCACCCCATCATAGTGTTGAGCAGATTGAGCTCGTACATTGGCGCCCAGGTTGCAATGTTACCAAAGATAAACACGGCGATACCAAGCACAATGAAGAAGCGGACGACGTGGACAGCAGTGGACGGTGTCGGTTGTTGAGCCCGAGGCCGGTTTCCCGGACTGACAGCATCAAGTTGCGGGGTTTGAAGGTCGTAGTAGTTTGCCATCTTGTAATCAAATTACCTATGACTAGATAAAGCGAGTTTGGAAATGATGTGTCTGAGCTACATCGACATATCCACGTGAAGAGAGAACGATGATCCGCAACCACCAAATCAATCAGCTGAAAAATGTCTGTCAACAATAGCAACGGATGGAAGTTACACACACGATTGTGTGAAGGTAAGCAAGACCACTGTGATTTGCATGCATCGAAAACTTATCCACTATTGGATATAGAATGTAGAAGAAAAGTATCAAGAACTCACGTGTAACAGTGGGTGCAACCACCGGCACTACAGGCGGATCATCAATCGAGATGGCAGTAGGACGAGAATATATATACATCCTTGAGGTGTATTCGGAATGGCGTCAGACTGACGAAAGTTGTAACGTATTTCTAGTATGGATTTACAGATACAATCCACTGTAGCGAAACACGACACACAACATATCCTCACAGCTGTTTTTTGCTAGGGTTTTCTGTACAGCTGAGCTATCCATGCAGAAGAATGCAAACATGCTACATTGTTGACTGGACAATACCGTGGGTAGGTAGGATGTTTGCTACCTGATATTAATTAGGTCGTCGCAATACAGAATATATTACTACACACATATATTTTCAATATCCTCAGTTGGTAAATTTCCAGTAATTTATTTTTACCGTGATTTTTTCACATAAAATTGGCAAACGGTGCAACGTCCAAGTTAGAATCGAAGTCTGATGAACTCAGTGCTCACTTGAGATTCGCTTCACAAGTCTTTCAACATTATAAAAGGCACAAAGCAAAGGAATGTGTCGAGGCTGTATAAACTACGGGCTCGTAGCTTTGACAAAGTTCCTTGTTGAACAATAAGACCTAGAACGTCTTATTCCAGCGATATCCGCATATCCGATATAGTATACCATTATAAAGTCGAGTTGGGGTACGGTACACGAATATCTGCCTTTTAAGGCTGATGACGCACTGTGATTTAGCCCTCATTTTAGCGAATGGTGATCTAATTCTGACATTTGTGCTGACACGTTACTTGAACGCATGATCATTGGTCTCTTCTAATATTGCAACTTACTCCATCCATGTCTCCACAGTCAGATCAGACGTAATTCATTTACAAGTAAAGATACATACATACCTTACCACCATGTTGATTGTCACTAGAAGCGAGAATAGTCCGTTGCTAGTGGAGCGCCGCAGCCACACACGCAGTTCGGTATCTACGCCACGCTCACCCTTTGAAACGGGCTTCCCCACACTCTTTACGTCTCCAGTCCTATCGCCGCGATCACACCGCTTGTCATTCATTAAGCCACAGCATACACACCGCGAATTGCATGTATTTCTTACGCTCACTATGTCCACAGTAGGTGCTGGTATGCTGTCCATACCTTACACATTTCTATTGGTACAGACTTGGTCTGCGCTGCTGGGTATCGTCATCGTGGGTCTTGGCATGGCGCTGACGGCCAATGCACTACTGCTTGCGCATGTGCAGCTGGTCAAACAGGAAGAAGAACAAGGAAAAAGTGGCTCGGACAGGAAGTTTGCCTCTTTTCAGGCCATTGCAGAGGCATCAGGAAGGGATGCGCTGGGCTATGCAGTCTCCATTATTACGGCCGTTGGTATCTACGGAGGATGCTTGGACTGTGTGCGTATCGTGCGCGACATTGCTCCATTCTTGTGATCATGTTTCATCGATTTGCAGCTGGCGCAAATGCACAACCTCTGTTGGTGACAACGGCGCAGCAGATTGGAGACTACGTCATGTGGGCGGTGTTTGTATTCGTAGTGTTCCCGCTATGCCTCATGAAGGACTTGACCAAGCTACACATATCAAGCTACCTGTTTTTTTGTCTTTTCGTTGTATCTGGTTCTGGCTGTTATCTACCGCTCGTTTTACGCGTTGGACTCGACTGATCGAGACAGTGACACTGTTTTTGTTAACACGACAGTAGTGACTGGTAGCACGGTTACAGCAGCAGTCAACACAGTAGCTGAAGTAGTGAAGGAAGCAGCGGCAAACGCTACTGTTTGCAGTTGCCGCAGTAATAACGGGATCGACCACTTCGAGGTTTACTCACACGATCTCGATTTACAACTTCGCATTCATGATGCATCTGAACCTGGTTCCGCTATTTATTCAGCTCCGAGGCAGCTCTTTCGACACTCTAATAGAGTCGCGCTGCATCTATGAACTCAGCACGTTTTGCGTGGTGTTTTATGTGATTTTTGGGTTGTTTGCAGAGAAACTGTACACCGTGACAATCCGTGGCAATATCTTGCTGAATCTTGAGAATGATCCACTCATGGACGTGCGCTGGTTGCCGTGTTCAGTACTGTCGTGCTGTCCTTCCCACTGCTTTTCCACCCTCTGCGTGGTGTGTTGGAAGAACTCGTTTACACCACGAATCTAGACACTATTGCCTTTGCCACTCGTCTAGGTGGATCTGCCATTCTGCTACTTTCCCAACTATTGCTTGCAATTGATGTTCCTGGAAATTGAAGTTATCTTCGGTCTCGCTGGAGCCAGTACTTGCTTTATGATTTGTTTCGCGTTCCCTGTTATTTTTTACAAGACTTTATCCGTGGGATCAAATTTGAGGTGGAAAACTGTGGATGATGACTCTTTGGATCGTTGTAGCGTTTGTCATGGTTACTGGTATCGCTGCAACATGGTTTCTCCTTGCTGAATAAATCTATAGATCACACGGCAGGAGTCTCCTTGTCATTGAGAATGATGTTTGCCTCTGTCGACGCAATTATCTTCTCTATCATCTCTATCCTCTCTATCCTAAATTGAAGTAGTTTGAAAGTTACGAAAAACCTCGTAGAAATGCAATTTGTGTCGGTTTGTTTGATTATTTTTGCCATTGATGCCTTTCTGTTGCATTATTTTTGCCATTGGACAGTGTTTACGAGTGTCTTAAAAAAAGTAACACACTTTAAGGACATTTGTGACCAACTCAGTTTGTTCCTTCGACTATTTTTGTTTCATATTACGTCAAAATGAAGAGGTACGTTGGGCGCATGAAGTAGCGGCAGTAGTTATCTAGCATCCAGTGGATGGATGATCATAAGGGATTGATATCATGACTAATGCTACTGCTAGTTGTAGAACAAAGCTCTATACTGTTCTTAATGTTGTAGCACACGATAAATTGTTGCAGATCCTGGCGCGTATACTGGAAAAAATGGCACTCCATGTAAGCAGCAGATTCTGAGTTGACAAATGTGGTACATTTTGATTGCTCATGAATACATTGACACAGGAATCTCAAGTGTTTACGACCAGTGAAAAAGACCACCTCAAGTCGATATTGACGATAGAAGATGCACAGATCCAAGCGGTAGTAGACGTCGCTAAAGAAGTCTTCAAAGACGCTGCCACTTTTGGACAAATTGATCGGGTCTTTCTGTTATCGCGTGGCGTGGACGAAAAAGTGGTGCAAATAATAGAGAAGATATGGCGAAAGAAAGGTCTTGCTATGGCCAAACAGATTGAGGCGTTTCAAGCAGTTGAGATGCCCTCGTTGGTGCTGCAAAAGACGGATTGGCGTCTTCATTTGCAGATGGGGAGCAGTAAGCGCAGCAGACAGTCAGAGCCGACCGCTATTTTCCAGTTGAATGTGGCGGACATGAGTTCAGCTACGAAAGGGGTACGGATGATTGAACAGAGAAGTGGAGGTCTGAATGAACACATAACATACCTGTCCTTTTGCAGACTGAGAGGCTGGACATTGAATTATCGCACGCAGAGTTGCACTCGTTGTTTCTACAGCTTAATTCCATCCAAGAAGAGGTGGACGCGTCGCCAACGCCATTTGCATCGTAAGGTCAAGCTTCAACGTCGATGCATTGTACCAGCTACAATTGCTTTGTTCTTGTCTATTGTATGTGTATTGTGATCCTGTCTCATGTGGTATTTTCGGCTCTTCCCTGCGACGTCTGTTTCATATCGGATGCAACGAAAGTCTCCGTACACCAGTGTTCATGGCCGTGGAAGCTGTTTATCGCGAATGTTTACATGCCGACTCTGTCGTCAACTTCGCACGCAGCTCGATTGATCGACGTAGCCTCAGGATGTTGCTTTCACTTCAACTAGCTAGCGCTTACAAAAGCAGTAATAGCCTTCGACTGTTATAGCTGCTGGCAGCTTGAACGCTAAAGGTCAAGTCTAAGATTGTGTGAGTCCGGCATCCTTGATCTGCAACCAAATTTGCAGTATGCAGATCAAGAAGACCTGGAGACGCTAAGTCGCTAGTGGAGACTTGTTTGCCATACGCTTTTTGTCACCAGAGTAGTTGCTACAGCAGCACATGCCACCTGCATGTTTCAATGGCAGAATAAAGGAAGTGGTAATGATTGGCATGGGTAGAGCTTAGTGGTGAGATAAGGAGGTGGCGACCTGTTCGAGGGAAGTGAGACGGGTCATTTTGATCTGCAACGGCACTAAAATGGCGTAGGTGGACATTGGTGAAAGAAAACGGTCAGGTCAACGACACGTTTTGGTCACAAAATGGGAAAATGGAAAATCTAAGACGTTTTTCAGTTGTCGCATACTAATGTCTCCACACTCTTTAATGTCGGCTTCTAATCTCACGCTTGATCCCAGAGAGACATACAAAAAGTAGGATATTCTTCACGTTTATTGACGTTATTTTATGACACAAGTTGAAACTATTTGACACCTACTAGCACATGCGACGTGTGAGAAGAAGACAAGTCGATTAAAGGTCAAAAAATGTCCAACGAAGTGTTCATCTCCTTCATTCGTGAATTTACTCAAAGCAGAATAATAGAAGCGATTGATCCATACAAAGTACTCTCTCTATTCATTACAAGACAAAATGACGAGTACGTGTCCATGGAGCATATCACCAAGTGATCCAGAGAAATCTCAGCCGAGTATGCAAGCTTTAATTGACGAAGCATTGGCTCTGAGTCTCTACGAAAAAGAGGTGAATGCTTTAGAGCGAGAGATGAATCCCGAGCATAGGAGCAGTGTTTTTACCAATATACAGCGTAACAAGGAAAAACGGGACATGGAGCGTAATAAAGGACTTTTGAGTGCTGATAGCTTTGATGTCATGAATGAAGCCGCCCCAGGTGAGGATTCAATGGCTCCCTCCGTGTTGACGCGCTCGCCTGCTGCTGTCACAGGCACTGCAGCATTGGCTCGTGCTAGAGTCGCAGGTTCCTTGTCCATGGAAGATGCAGATCATGGAGGTGGAAAAGGCAAGGGATTTACATCACTTAGGGAGAGTATCAGGCGTCAACAAAAGAGTGAAAAGAAAGGCTTTGGAACAGGCCGAGTGGCGGCAGAAGCTCATGCTACGACGGATGGTGTCATGGATGAGCGAACCACTTTGATCTTGCAGAAAATGATTAATCGAGGAGAGTTGGACGAGGTGCATGGATGTGTACAAAGTGGCAAGGAGGCCCATGTATACTATGCCATGGGCAGAGATGAAGCGACGATGCAGCCGGTGCAGCTCGCGGTCAAGATCTTTCGTACGACGCTGAACGAATTTGGTAATCGCCACGAGTATGTGACGGGCGATCGTCGTTTTGATCTTAACTTTCAAAAGAAGGACCAACGTCGACAGATTAAAGCTTGGACGGATAAGGAGTATCGCAACTTGTGTCGTGCTGCTAAATGCAACATTCGTGCACCAACTCCGGTGGTATGCAAAGAACACGTATTGGTGATGCAATTTGTAGGAGCGGATGGGTGGCCAGAGCCCACGTTAAAGGATGTACAGACGGATTTGTCGCCGAAGCAACAGGCTCGCGCGTATGCTGATGTTCTTCAGGCGACCCGTGGTCTTTACCAGCGTGCACACTTGGTCCATGGAGACTTGAGCGAGTACAATATCCTTTTTCCCATTCCGAGAAGCGTATTTGGCTCATTGATTTTGGTCAGGCAGTTGACCGCACTCACCCGGGCACGGAGAAGCTCCTGAGGCGTGACCTGCACACTATCAATCGGTTTTTCCAGCGTGGCGACTTGTCTGAGGCCACCGTTGACGAAATTGGTCTCCTCTCTGATGACAAGGCATATGAATACGTGGTGAGTGAGAAGCCAAAAGAGGTGATGGCTGACTATCCCACTCTAGCAACATTGCTGGAAGAGTTGACTGATGTGCCTGAGATCCCAGAAGAAGAAGAGGCGGATGAAGCGGAAGAAGCAGAGAACGAGGAAGCACACATTGCAGAAGAGTCGCCGAATGAGCACACTAATGACGTCGGGGCTGCACTAGCAGAAAAGTCTCCGGAATTGTCAAAGAACGAGCACGATGGACTATGATCTCACTGTCTGCAGGCTGCAAACTCGTTTACAATCGTAAGGGAATAGTAACACTAAATATCGCCTTGGTCGCAACCTCGCTTCGAATTGCTAGCGAGCTAGCAGTAATAGGAAGGTCTTACTGTCATTTGAAACGGTATTGGATTCGACTGCCTATAATGCAGCTTGCACATATCTCGTCGCTCAATTTGATTGCAAGCACCAAGGCTCGTAAGAAAGAACATAATCAAAGTGATTCTAAAATATGGATAGGTCCTTTATGGGTCTAATGCCAACGGTTAACAATCTAGCGCTTGGCTTGTGTGCGTTCACTAGTGCCCTGTGCTGCAATGGACGTCAATGTAAGATCGTCAGGTTTTGACGCTGGCTTTGTTGGAACGTTTGTCGCCATATAGACTTTCCAACGGTGCAGCATGTTCAACGAGGTCGGGTCTATAGCAACATTGCTATTCATGGGAGTTTTGAGCCGGTTGCAAGGCGTCAGTGACAGCGACATTTCAAGAGTAAGGCAGTCGTTCTTGACGAATAGTCAAGAATAAGTATCAATCAAAGATAGATGCACATGCAGAGCAACTATTTGAATGCTAGTTTCATTTTTAGTGAACTGCTGGAAGTAGATCCAAATCTGCAATCAGACCTACGGTGAAGATGGAGCGAATGTTCAGGCAAAGGAAACACAAGGCTCGCCATGCGCAAGATCTTGTCTTTGTATCTTGTTACTAAGATCTATGGTGATACGAAACCTAGGAACATTAACAACATCAAATTGGAAGAAAGGCTACAATACATGGACCCACCCACCTGTTCATCTCTTTTGATTCAATTATGCTTTCTTTGGCTCGACATCTTACTTCAGCTGAGAAGCAACTGGACTGACGGTCACGCCAAATATAGAGAGCCGCGTTGATCCTGACAGATGAACAATATTGCTGTCCGGTCCAAGAGACAGCAAACCATCCGGCAAGACAACAATTGAGTTCCAAGAAAAACTGCCTCATGTCGACTAGAAAATAGGACACAAACGACGTTGCTGATGTTACCGATTCCTAGTCATTTGATCATGAGAAAGATATGTCGATGTCTATGGGTTGTGCCGTGCAAAACTTCATTCTCAAACAACTTGAGGGTGTGATACAAAATAAAAGGACATTCGCTCTTGCTCTCAAGCCGGTTGTGCTCTCACTTCCTACGTTGTGGTGGTCTTTTTTGCTTCCGCTAATCAGTCACCATGCAATAGTGAGCTTGAAAGAGCTTTAGCAGCATACGGATGAAAACACCGTGTACATCCAGCAGTTGAGAGCTAAGTCGGAGCCGTATGCAAGTACTTCGTACTAGATACTTGGCTTTACATATTCTCGTCGAACAAACCACAAATAAAGCAGTCATGTACCCCGAGCAGCACAAACTAGTTGAGAGACTGGTTTGGCTATTGTAACAGAGTAAAGGAGCGCTGTTTATCATTATACTAGCCTTTTCCTGCAGCAAATCGGATAAAGCTGGTCATATAACTCTTGACAGAGTAAAGGAGCAGCTCTGCTATCACATAGTAATGGCTCACACGAGGCAGTCGGTCATACCTTCAGTCATAACATGCTGCAGAAAGCACAAGACAGTGTGAACGAGTAGGATAACTTACACTCGTTAAATTGACTATCATAGCTGGTGCTTCTATCGCCTTGCTACGGAGAATTTTTTTCTTGACTGAACTCATTCATTGTCGTGTCGACTAAAAAAGGTTGCAAGATCCTCGCTCGTTCGATTCCGCGGCATCGAAGGAAGAAATCTTACTGACCATGCTGGTTCAGGTTGGCTAAAACATGGCACGGTGCGTAGGCATCGACCGTGCACAACGCCAAACCCTGCAAGCTGCATTCGCTAATGAACCACGCACGACTTGACTGAAAATGGACTGCATGAGTTTACCACAGAAACATAAAGCGGCTTAGAGGGTCCCCTTCAGCGCATATGATTCATCACAGCACGCAGACCATACATAAGTCCAGCCTGCTTCCGTGCCTCTGCAACAAGTAAAACGACGTGGCATTTCTCCGAAGGACTAAGCGCTCGGTCAAAATGCGCAAAATCTTCCTCGCGCACTTTCCACGGCGTGCAGGCCACCTTCTTCAAAAAAATCTTCGTCGGTCGGTTCAAATACGTGTTCACCTGGCGGTAGTCGTAGTCGTCGTGGCAAATACCAAAGATTCGATGTACGTAGTACCACACAGCATCACGGTACGGGCTAGTGTCCACAAACTCTTCCTTTTGCGCTCCGAAGTAGTCGTATGTCAACTTGCTCGTTAAATTAAACAGGTCCTCGAGAATCTGGCCAGCCTCACCCGGATAATACCGCTTCACAAGGGAAAAACAGTGTTCGTCCCAGCTAAAATCCTCCGTATGTAGCACCTCATACTTCTCAGAACGTACATCAAAGTCTGCGTAGCGGATGACGCTTCCACCACAAAAGCGCCACAGCGTGTCAGCTCTTCGACTAGCCGTTGTCGCATTGACTCCGTAGTCTGCCTCGTCAACGACCACTTCGAAACCGTCGTCAGCTCCAACCTCCTCGTCGTCATCCATATCGTCTTCTCCATCTTGCTGTTGTTCCTGTTCGTCTGCGGTCTCTTCCTCTTCGTCCGCTGTATCGCTGTCCAGGCCGCTATTCTTCTTCAACTGTTTCAGCAGCATGTCGTCGTCGCGGTCGATGGTTGACAGATCCACGCTGCTGCAGCTGCTAGCCTCGACTCCTTCCTGGTTGTCCACACCATCAGCGGTGGCCAACTCTGCGTCCAGAGCATATCCAAATTGTCCAAAAACCGCGAGGTCCACTTCCTCAGCACAGCCAAGACCCAGCGCAATGCTCGCTATTGAGTGCGCCTGACAAAGCACAATGATGGCGTGTACGAGTTCCGAGACCGACCACGAGTCGTCCTGGTCCGAGCGCAGCAGTTCCGATACGTGGTCCGCTGTCAGCATCCATGGTCTATGGGCCAGCAATGAGCTGAGCTCGTGCAGTCGGAAGAGCTTGGGCGGCACGTAGTCTAGTCCCTTAATCCACTCACCATCTCCTCCGTTCACGACAAAGTTGTACTGCTGCAAATCTGCAAGGTAGTGGCACCTGAGCTCACTGGCTCCCATAACAGCAATGTAGCTTCTCCAATGGAGCGGCAGCGTACCATCGCGCGTCATCGTAGCTGCAAGACTGCGGTCAAACAGCTTCAAGTAGCTAGGATGCCATGCCAAGATCTGCATCAAGTGCGTCACGCGACCTGTACGTAGAAACGAGTCCTGGAACAGTGAGCGCAGCGCCTCCTCGTCCACACGCGGGACGCTCTCGAGCGCATCGTCCTCAGGCGCGTCTCCATTAGCAAAAAAGTACGAGACGCGTTTCTGCCGCGCGCGTAATTCCTGCATCTGAGGAAATTTCTGCTCAACGGCATCTACAATCTGACCAATTGCCTCGCGAATGGCTGGAAAGGGCGCATCTAGAGTCAATCGCAATGCAGTAGGAAAGAAGTCAGTCACGAGCGTCGCGTCTTCACGTGCTAGTAGCTCTTGCAGTTCGTCCGAGATGCGTGCAAGCATCTGCTGCTGCACGTTCGCGTCTGATACTAACAGACGACGGAAAAATACATCACGTTTAACGCCTACGCGTCGTGCAGCCTCAGCAAGTGAGAGCGGTTCCATATATAATAGATCACTTGAAGTTTGTATGGTAGAGATAATAATGGTGATGGCGGTTTGGTGCTTGAGGCTCAACTTGTAGAATGGACTCACTTTTGTTTTAGCGCATCGTCGAAGGGAGTGGAAAACGTGTTATTAACCAATCAAAAAGGTTAGATTTGTATTGCAACCAATCAGAGCGTGTTCTCGATGCTTTTGTTAGCAGAGAGCGGGGAAAATATAAGCTAAGCGCCCGTCTGCCTGAAGTTCGGTGCTGCCCCTCTGGCATGAGTACTTGCGAGCTGACGAGAACTAATGCAATGGATGGACCCGTAATGTAATTGCTGTTTTATACGTCAGCAATATAGTAAGTAGGTACAAAAAAGGCTTACATGTCGTTAATCCATGGCAAGTATTCTAGAGCAGGTCGATAAAAGACCGGTTCCGTTTACCTAGATTTGACTATACTCACTGATTCTCCGTATTAAGTACGAGTCCATGACACGACCATAGCAATGGAGCATAGAGAGTACGATACTCTAACCCAGTGATATTGGCTAGCAAATAACAGTCATTGGATGGATCAATGCCGGTGCATATGATAAGAAAAAATATGTTTTAGCCAAGTTCAATGCAACAGTTGCAGTAACAAGCGGCATGCTTATACTACAATCAAGTGTAATTTGTTGTTCGTAAACAGTTGACAGAAAACGGACCGACTATTTTGTGACATGTGCCTAAACTACATGAGCTTTTACAAGAGTATACTAAGATCAAGAGAATGGTTAAAAGAGACTTCACGCTTTTCAAACCTTCCACAAAAAGATTGCACTGCTACTTCTCTCTAAAGCTTGACTAACAAGTGCTCAAAGACAATCAGCATCGTGTTCACTTTTTTCGAGCACTTGAGTTTGTTTTTACTCGGCTTGGAAGGGCGCATTAGGAAGGTGGACGTGGCCATGTCCTTGCTGGTGATGGTAATCAAGTCGATTGAGTGTTTTACTTGGTATGTCCATAGCAGGCAGCAATCAAGTGATGTGACGAAACAAACGTGATTTCGCGCGTGTGACTCAAGTCGGTCCAGGTGTACAGTGAGCCATGCCATTACCACAACGACATCTTCGAATTTAGCGCACGACACACTCCGTCGCATGTAGCGATCACACGACGCCACTCTGACGCACCAAGAAGCCGGCGCTCCAGCTGATGGAAGGTTCGAAAGCGCTTTACTGGACATGTAACATGGCACGCACAAGGCGACGACAATATGCTGCTTTCTGTTCAGTGATGATGAATGTCACTAGAGCGGGGATTGTGATGTATGGATTTCAGACGAGAGCTACATTGTTAAATGGAGTTATTCTCACAAAAATCGCTTCACGTCAGAATTGCGACGTGATACGAAACGTGAGGGTGACATGAACTTATTTCTGGTTGTGAAGTACGATAATGCGCCATTTAAGATGGACATGTCACTGTTTTGCAGCTTGTGACAGAGACGTACAAGTCAAAGAAAAGCTGTCACCACGTGATTTTTAACGACCAATCTTGATGTGCGTTTTTATTGCCCGTCTACCAAATTCTTTGCTGAGAAGATGACCTTACTACTGCTCACGTTTTTGCATACAATGTGACCACATAGGCACGACGCATATGCCGATGAATGCATCGACGTGCATCGCGTTGTAAGGCAAATGGAGCAAATATATCTTCGAATACGGATTGGATGAACAGGCTGTTAATGTGTCTTTGCATTACAACTAGCACAGGTCTATAGGCTTAATGTAACATGAAGCTACCGGAGGCATCATCAGCTCTTTTGTTTGTTAGCCTCGTCTAAAGCGTCGATCGTTGGTTCTTCTTCGCTATTCAAAGGTGTAGAAATGATGTGGCGCAGGGCAACATGTAGCAACTCATGCTGTTGGGCGTGCCTTACCTTCACAGTGGCTGAGTCTTGCGGAAGATCCTGATGCAGTGGACCATCTCAAGTTCTCGTACAATTTTCTGGACGATGACGCTGCCGATTAAAGTTAGTTATGTTTCAAGACGCAGCAGCCAAGGGTGGTCAGCGTTTGAATGCCGCGTATCGTCTACTAGGATGTTATTGGGGAGAAGAAAGACGCAAGTAACGTTTTTTCAGATAAATATACGTCGTCACTTTAAGTCACTCATTCAGAACCGCTTGTCCACACAACTGCAGCTTTCACAAGGCGTGGAGCAGCATTTTTTTATGCCAAACTACCTGCGCCAATTGCAATGTTTCCACCTAATCCTGAGGATACAATCGACAGTCAAACGTGCTGTTCAAAAACGACGTTACACAAAAATAACTACTGCATCTGCTACGCTTGCGCAACAGTTCTCAGTCATCTCCCTAACGTGGTCACGGCACTGTCAAGCAAGCAACATGCAAAGGCAGCGTTTCGACAACGAAGGAGCAGTCGCAATTGAGGAACAGCACAAGATAAGGGTAATGGGTTACATACACAAAGGTGTTACACACTAGGCTGTACTTTGGGTACCCTGGTGAGTTGATGTGACCGTACCTAAAAAGGGTCAGAGAGCCACGTGATCATTATACTTAGTTAACGTAATGTAAATGCATATGTTTGCATGTAAGGAGGCTACAGAGTGGCTTAGCCGAACAACGGGCATTCACATGCGGTGCATCACTGCAAGATGCATTACCGACATGGGCTGATCTGAAAGTATCGGTCAAAATTATAGATGTCGGGTTATCCGACTCTATAGACACTGTAAGTGTCGAGGAAAATAGTCCCGGGCGAGGCCCAGTTGTGTGGTTGAGAACCCACTAGATGACACATATGACATGTGTCATGAGAATGATGTTACATCATGAAACACCATGAGTGGTGTGGGTGGCTGCAAGCCAAGATGTCATAACAAAAGTCCAAGTGACATAGGTGACGGGGGTACTGACCCAGGAGGGTCGGGTAAAGTCACCAATGGATGTTGTCTTTGAGGACAACGAGGTGAAAGTACCTCACGACGAGATACTAGCCCAAGAGGGTGGGACACAGTTAGCAAACGGAGTGGTATTTGATCTACAAGTTTTTACACCTGTGGACGCTGTTGCGTCGGATGCTGAGAGCATCAAGAGTACATTTGCTAAAGCGAAAAACATCGACATTAGGGTACGTACGTATGTGATCAAGCAAGACATGATATAATCATTCCAAATTACGGATCTTCGGGCAACATTATCGCTATTATACTGACGAAGACGCTAAATTCTTACAAGTTTGACAGTCTGTAAAGTTGATTGAACATAAAACGGGCGTAAAGGAGTGTTAAGAGTTGATGGAAAGTGGTCCAAGCGACATTACGCGTTTTGTACCACGGGCGACGAATCGAGGTTAGTATGTCATCGGCATCCTCGATGTGGGTACACATTGCGACGTTTGAAGACTATAGCGAGCAGGAATGCCTGCAAATACATATTATAAAATCAGTATCAGTTTTGGTATACACTCAAAGAGGCTTAGTTAAAACAGAGCCACAGGACAGTAGTAAAGGCACCAGCATATTTGAAGCCAGAACAGGCTACCATGAGGATGTTTGTTGTGGTTGACTCTGCATCTACGTACCTCTCTATGATAATCAGTACTGGCATCTCAATAGAAACAGTGAATGACATAACGCAGTCGTACAATTTGAGACAAAGTCGGAAAAATAATATGAGCTCAATGGGTGGTATTGTTTTACATGGTAGGCAACCGCCGAACTGTGTGGACTAGACCTCTGACTTCACAATACTTAGTGAGAGATGTGGTGAAGTGCCTGATAAAGTCGTGGAGACGGATCGACCAAACTCGCCTAAGCACGAAATCGGTCCAAATGGTCGAAATCAGTTTCAATCTGGTATATGATTGGTAAAATTTTGGAAGCTGAATACGTGTGCCCACAAGGAGACTTCAGTCGATCAGCTCAAGAGTCGTATAAGCTGATGCTGGATGGATTGAGGTCTGATTGCATGTGGCATCGCGATATAATGACGATCGGATCCAGACTACTATCAGATTTTAATAGATGCTATAATTATGTAGATGCGATCATACTATTTCTGTGAAGATCAACCTGGAAAAGTTCTTAGGTGAGTGCGATCTCGACCGGATCGCAACATCGGCGATCGAGATATGGATCCTTTCGTATGTAGTTGTCACAGGTAAAGGTGAAGGAATTGAGACAGTACGTAATGATTGTGCAAGCCGTAAGCATTTTACGTTGATACGATCAATATGCTCACCACAATCTCCTAGTGAGCGACCACGATCGAAAGTCAAGAATGTGGTATGGACCACATCCCGAAAAACTATAATTGGCGATCGCAACCTAGTGTGGGTAGGCGTCTTGTACAGATAGCATGTTAAGTTTACAGCGTCCTTGGTCCTGGCGCTGCTCCGTTAAGCTCCCTTGATGCCGTTGCTCCTCTTTTTTCTTCTGTCATAGGGCGGAAGTTATAGGTGTAGTATCCTGGATCAAAGTCTTACGTATATCATGCAGTTTTCGGCGTATCCTACCACTGTATCCTAGCTGTGAGCAATGCACTAAGGGTACCACTATAGTTTGACTCTTCCTAAAAAATATTTCCAGAGCAGCACAAGAAGAATCTCTTACTTTAGCCACAAATACTGAGTCAGTATCTCCGAAGATGACATTGAAACCACATGAGTGAGAAATTGACTCAACTATAATTTTGCACCAGCGCCCCGACAATGTGGCAGCAATCCTGCTAGGTTAATGCACAATTCAGATGTTAAAGCTGTACTGTCACCATAAAGACAATTTGCGAGCACTTTTAGTGCCAAGCCTAATGCCGCTTATCTATTAGGTACTCAAGCACATGAGCAGTGAAACCTACTGGCCGTCTTGCAATCCTAGCTACCTTATTTATGTGGTGGAGCAAGGATCCAAAAACTCGTCAAGTACCCCGACTCGACACTCACGAGGCCTATACTACCGACTAACGGAAGGGGTGCTCTAATACTTGCCGTAAATCTTCT